AGTTGATGTTTTTTACATGTTTAGTTCGTAACCGGAACCATTATAAATGGCTCTTAAAATATTTTTTTTTATAAATTGTCAAATAACACTTTACAGATATTGTAAAGCTTTTACAATATCTGTAAAGTTCTATTTGACAATTTATAAAAAAAGAAAATATAATAGAATACACGTCTGATTTATCCGATCTTTCATTTTGGTTGATTACCTAGTCCGAAATTATAAATTGCAATGGCCAGAGATGAAAGGTTATTTTAGTGACTTTACATAATAACTATATTTATTTATTATATTTCTTATTGTTTATATTGCTCTAAAGGTAACAAACTATTTTTTGAATATATATTTCAATCAGTTACCTAATATTATCTGCATGGTTTAGGACACTGACTAGCAAAATATTGCCACGCACTGGAAACCCACAGTAAACATTATTTTATATAGTCGAGAAACGTTATTTTGTGAAAGTCGCACTTAGGTAAAATTTAGACTTTATGGCTGCTTTAAACCTATATTTCTTTATTATTGCGAATACGCCACGCCATAGTACCTATAGATATACAATATAGATACAAATACAGTATAGAAATGGCAATATTTGCCAGTATGACCATCTATATATTGTTTGTGTCACATATTTTATTGTTTATGTAGTTTCTGGCGTCTAACGTAGGTACAGATACATGCGTTTCAGGAGTCAGTGTGCCTTCCAAATTATTTAGTTTGTTTTGTAGTGAGGGGTATGGTTGTTATGTGTCCTTATATATGGGTTAAACAGAAGAGCGAGCTAGACTTTGTAAAATGGTATCTGCGTTAATACCTCAGCCTCACCTATTTCGGCCGCCAAGCAGTTTGCTTTGTAATCTGTGTTTCCTTGTAGGGTCAGATTAGACAGTGTCATTAGAGCATAAGAAGTACGGTATCTTCGCCCTCTAGAATCGCAACATGTCTCATGACAACGTGTTATCCATGTTGCTGCACTTGTTGATGTGTATAGACAACGGTTACCGCTTACCTACCGTTTAAGATCACATGGGACATCAAAATTTGCAATTCCAATTAAATATTAATGTAAAATCAGGTAATTAAGGGTAAGTTTACTTTAATTAGTTTTAATACACCTGTCCTTAGTTTAAGGCCAGTCTAAGCTGCTCCATTACAACCGGGTACCTAGACGGGCCTTTAAATCAGCTGCTTGACAGCAGGTTTTTACTATACTTGAATATCTTTGTCGGTACTCAAATTACTACGTATATCGTCACGTACATACTTGAAATCATGTACTATACATAGTTAAGTGTATGTTTGTAAACTTAAACTGTCAAAAAGTGATAAATGTAACAAATATTTTCTCATAGGTAGACATATTATATAAAACAAACAATAAGAAGACTCTTATACCTAGAGTGTAAAAAGACTGATAGGGTAAGTGTGTAAATAATGACAATAAAAGCCAATACCTACCTAATAGCACAGATAACATAATATTACATCTAATAGTTACCCGAAAGAGGCAATACTCTAAATGGATCTATCATTTAATTTAGATCCTAAAAAATATTGTTATTTCATTAAAAATTAATTAATAGTCTTTTTTTATACATTAATTTGTTGCAGTGTATATTCAATAGAACAAAAAATAACGCATACGAATACACCAAGTAGTAATCAAAAAGTCAATGAACGTGTTTTTCGGCATGTCATAACATTTGGATACTGATAGTTATAAATTAGCTAGTATTCATTAAGCAGTGAAATTGTGAACAATTGTTTAAAATAAAAGTTATTATAACAACAAAGAATTTCATAATATTTATATTAGTGTATTTGTAATTAGTTATTTTAAGCTGTCCTAATCGTAGTTCTGATCAATATAACCATACTCATTATCGGCGGATTGTTTTTACAAATAAATATAAATAGTAATCTACAATAAATCTACAAAATAGAAAAATAAACAAAACAATAAATCATATATCTTATAAAAAGAAACATAAATAAATCTTACTAATTATTTCTTGGAATATAAATTCCTGGCATCCTTATAGACTTCTCCATAAGGCAAATTCCGAGACAAGTAAATACTTTATTTACATAATGTTTATTATTATATCTAATTTATTCATATGTGATCAAAGAGATTTCAAAAAAAATACATTCGTCTATTGCCATTGCCCGCTCGTTTTGAAGGTTCATTCCGCCGACTTTTTCATAACTTAATCTGCAAATAAAATAAAACCTTCACACCAACAATATTAAAACTTATGTTACTTAATTTTGCGTAGGTGATGTGATAGGGTGGTAGGTCATAAGTGAAAAATAAAACAGATCTGTTTATACGAAGGAAAGTAAAATTGTATTTTTTTTTAAACCAATCGGAATAAAATAGACGCTATAATATAAGTAAAACATCACCCAAACTCCCTTAACTCCTTCAGACAAAAGTCGTATCCGTCAGGCAGGAGTTGACCATCAGCCGCTCCATTTCCTTTTGGAGTGCTTTAAATCTGCACTCGCCGTCAGGTGAAGCTATAAATGCCAGCTGTGGCCAACAGCATTAGAGTAGTCCGAAAAAAATCGGTTGAATCATTTCTGAGATTCGCACGCACAAACGCAGTAATAGACAAAAATGTTAAAAATATTACATAATTTTTGGATCAGTCCCTGATTTTTCTTCCGTATGTTTTTAATATAAGTAGGTACTTTATGTATGAATCTACTGAAACAGTGAACAAATAAATACCTACTATGATATCAATTTCTTATTACAGAATGAGTTTGCAAAATGTTATCGATAGATTTATATTGGTAGATTGTGAGTACAAGGGGATTATATAAAATGTATAGGTAAAATTAACATATGTATTATCTTTTCATTTTCAATTCTGTGTCTTAAAACAAAATCGTTTACTTCAGAAATGTGTTAAATTTGTGGAAGAGAATTTAATTCTATTTATGAGTGGGAATAGTGGCTGTAAATGTAATCCATTATACAATAAAAATTGAATTCTTTCTAAAATACACCCACTTTAAATGTATGAGTATGCAAATATGTTTAGATGTTTCATAGATACATCATTACAGTTGGACGGCTGAAAAGATTTTTTCGGTAGACATAAATCTTCTAGAATACATAATTTCTAATTCATTAAATAATAGAAAATTACAATCTAAATTGTTAAATACATATTTTAATTCGTAATAATTTGTCCTTTTAATATATGTTCTATAATGATTGTCATCATAGTCCATCTCGTATATTGTAATATTTTTTCAGATCTTTAGCTGTAAAACCTAAAATTTTGATAACTAAAGCGTGAAACTGGCACGCAAAAATTATAGCTGTGTAGAATCCTTTTTATACAGAAAGAAAAAAAAAATAAACGTACAATACAATAGTAAGTTTAAATTTAGAAAGTGACAAAATCTTCAAAACTAAAATCAGTAGATAAACTTATCAGTTTGTTCAAAGACTAAAGACCACACCTGCGCGTTTACCGTGAGCAATAAAAATATATTACGTAAACAATTTAGTCACCAATCAATTTAAAGATAAATTAACGCTTAGCGCCTTGATATTTATTACGATAATTTAAAATTTATACAAAAAAATGAGGCAAATATAGGTTTTAATTCCTGAAGTTTCTAGTAGCAATTAGCGAGTAGTGTATTTGCATTTACCAAAATTCTAAAACTATTTCTATGTATTCTAATAGATTTTATTTTTAGAAAGTAGTACCTAATTCCAAAAAACGTCCGGTTAACGAATTATTTATTTCGTGCTATCTGTCCATAGAAAATAAAATGCAAGGCACTGAAAAAGTAGCATTTTTTTAATACAAAATACGAGCAGAATTACTAGAAAAAAATATATTGCAAATATGAAACTGCATTTATTTCATTCTATATGCATGAGAATCTAAGATAAAAGTAAGCTTACAGTGTCAGTTTGTATATTCATACGAGTATACTGTACTTTTTTCTGTCTGTATGTCCTTGCTAATATCTGAAACAGCTGGATTGATTTTGACGGAGCTTTCACTCACAGATAGCAAATGTTATAAGGAGTAATATAGTTTTTATTTCAGAAATTTTATTTATTTTAATATGAAAAATAATCTATGTGAACGAAGTTGCAGGAAACAGATAGTTAAGTATATAACACAATATAAACTCGTTTACAGGCTTCCTAATTTGGTCAAAATGCATTCTCACAAATACAATTTTTCATCTTATAAATTGGTGTACGTATATTGTGGAAAATTTCATAATACTTCGATGCATTTGCAGGAAATGATAAAATTATATTTATATTTATCATATAATGTATAAAGATTAGATTACTCAAATCTCTTAGAAGTGGTTTTGACACACTGACTCAGCTTCCCGTGTAGACTTCGATTCCCGTACGAGGTCGACTTTCATATAGATATCTATAAAATTTAATCAAAATCGTCATAGCAGTGTTTTATGCGAGTATTGTGTAGACACATTATGACTAATTTGTGTCTTAATAGACATTATCTTTATTGCTACTTACCAATAATAGTCCTGATCAATTATTATAACTTAAAAGTAAGGTTGATAAATAAATCTGATCATGCATACTGATAATAAAATGCGGTCAAGTGATGATACAGAGTTTTTGGTTGATAAAAAAAATATCGTCATTGGTTTAAAGTTAATTTTATAAAAAAAAGTTTTATTGAAGCATTAATATTATTTGTAATATTTAATCATACACTTATTCGACAGCTCAAAAAAAATGTTTACGAGTCAAAATTTTTTAATTTAATTATCGAGTTTTCGACAACTGTTAACTACACATACACTTAAATATTAGTAAATATAAATTGTTTTAAATATAATATTTTTAATATAATTGTTCTAACAGACATACAAAATTAACAATTTATTATATATTATTATATAGGATTTGGAAAACCAAAGAAAGTTTAACCCCAAACTGTACTTTATAAAATAAAGATGTTGAACTGATTCCAATGATTTTCCATTACCATAACCAGTATTCAAAAAGGATAAGGTCGGTACCTTATACTTTTCAAAATAATCTACTGCAAACTACAATATCAGCAACAAAATTACACTTTACATTTACTATATTTTTTATCACTGGTAATCAACAGAACTAAAGGCTGAGGTCCGAAAATTAATATTAATAGAAATATACCACCAACCACAAACCACCTTTAGACTTGACTGTATAGTTCTGTAATGACATTGCTTGGTTGAGATAGTAAAATTTAATAGGTATTAAGTAATTATTATATGCAATTCTGTGAGATGATCCTGATTATCGTAAAATGGCCTTTAAATGAAGGTGGCGGTTTATCGTCGACTTATTTATAATTTACAACACTTTTAAGCGATAATGCAATAATAAAATTAAAGCTAAGCATTAGGGGCCAAAATTGCATTTGTACGTCGAACAGTCATAAGATAATATGATATGCTACCTAGCTACAACTTATTGTAGTGACAACTTGTAAGATAAGTAAAAATTTATCATTATCTTATGATTAGGCGGTAGGTATAAAAGAGCGTAAGGTACGCACGCTTTTTGCATTATCGTATTTTTATTTCTTGTGAGTGTAACATATATATTAATATCAACCAAAATGGCTTTTTTGGGAAAGCAGTACAAATACGAAAGCGAAGAGAACTTCGAGGCATTTCTGAATGCCATCGGTATGTTTTATGTTATGTATTTATAAGTCAACCATAATGCAACAGATACAATTTCCCTAGAAATCCGACATGGACAATTACACAAATTTAATTAGGTTTGGTTCAACAGTCTACGAAAATTGGTCTTTAATAAGACTCCATTATTTCAGTAGTCAAAATAAAAATTAGCCTTAGCTTTAATTTTAATTTTTTTTTAATAATTCTTGGACAATTCAGTATATAATCAATAAATTAATATTTAGTAAGTTAATAGGAAAACTCGCATCTCTTGATTTTTAAATAAATATTAGTAACATAATATAAAAAGTATGTATTTGCATATACCATTAAAAACTCATCTGTGGTTATAATTAAGTTAAATTTACTATTTTTTGTGTCCTATATAAAATATATTAATTAGGTACCTTTTGAACATAACGTGGTAGCTATGTATTAATTCATTAGACAGTAGAGTTAAAGACCCATAACTACCGTATATCGCCTACCGATTCTCTCTGCAATCCCGAAAATATATTGATATTAATACTAATACCTATGTAAGGCGCCTAATTACAATTTCGTTTTGGACATATAAAATTACTAGAAATAGTCATTCCTAAATATAAAAATCTTATTAATTTGGCAACATTTACTGAAAAACAAGTTTGTTTGTTTAGACATTCCAGCAGAAGACAAAGCCAAAGCTGCTTTGTACAGACCCACACAGCTTTTAGAAAAGGACGGTGACACCTACAAATACACAACAATTATTCCCCAGAGGACTAAGACCGTCACTTTCCAATCTGGTGTAGAATTCGACTATGAGATCAAGGAAGGCATTACCGTAAGTTAAACAATATACAGAAATTAACTAATGATATAAATAAACTAATTTAATTGCCAATATTAATATTTACGACAATAAAGACGTCTGCTAATTTTCGTTTTATCCAATTCTTACTTTTCTCGATGGAAAGGGTGACACCGGAATTACAGAGTACGGATATATAATAACTTATTCTTCGGGAATGGCAATGTATGGAACTGTGCAGTATCTGGCTGCTCTTCATCTGTTCTTCTTCTGTTGGTTTAAAAAAAATTCCAAGAAATTCTTCGTTAAATATCACCAATAGCTTGTTTGGTGTTTAATTTCATAATAAAATTCTATTATAATTACTTTAAAAGTACCAGGGTCTTAATTATGTAACACTCACATTGTTTCAAAATTAAGGCACCTACAATTCCTATTGGAAATAGGTTCAGTAGCAATTGCGAACTATCTGCAGAAATCATATGGTTTTAAAGAAAATCGCAAACGTATCGATTGTAATATTACATATATATAATATATACCGCAAAACATTAATTCTCTGCACGACCTATGGTAGACTGGTAGAACGTTCCGCATGGTGTTAAGTCCGCCAAATGTACTTTACAATTATATATTTTGTATTACTCAATACAAAATACGTATCGTAAAGTACATTTGGCGGATTTACACTTAACACAGCATTGAAGAAATAAAAAAATATATACATAATTAAGCCCCAATAGATTCATATTGTTTATTCGGTTTGCTTCAGGATCATGTTGTAGTTAATGTATTTAATTTCTATTTATACACTGTTTCAGATTAAGAGTCTCTTCACTGTTGATGGCAACACAGTGACCCAAGTATTCACCGACCCTAAAGGAAGATCCGCCACATTCAAGAGAGAGTACAATGGCGACAAATTGAAAGTTGTAAGTGTTTCTCTCTATATTATACACTTGACAGTCATAGTCGGTACACTAGTTTAGTATACCATCTTACTTCCAATGGACGAAGGTTTGATACAAACATTTGTATTCATGAATACTTACGGTTCTTTGTATTGGTTACAAAAATTGGTATATATACATAAATGTTTCTAATACTTATTTAGAATCCATGGTAATATATCTGATGAGTTTGAAGTAAGCAGCACAGATTGTACAACGACATAATTTTTAAAATACATAATGTACAGATAAAACACTTACGCCAACACAAATATTTGTATCATGCAAGAATAGTATTTGCAACTATTGGAAGTAAGGCTGTCTGCTAAACCACTAAACAACCGACGCGACGCCGTAAAATGATTATGACTGATTCGAACAAGGAAATGTAAACATTGTACAAAAAAAATCTATTACACGTTTGTATTAATCTTTCTCTGTATGTGACTTTGTAAGTTGTAAAAGACAGATCGACTTGAATAAGATTTTTTGTTTTTATCCTGACTTCATTTAATTTTAATTCTGATATGATCTTATATTTTGAATCTAGCGAGAGTATAGATAGAATTCAAATCACGTTTTCTCTTTGTTTACAGACCGTCACTACCAGCGTCTGGGATGGCGTCGCTTACCGATACTACAGTGCTTAGGAACGTAGAATTTAATTAACTAGATAAGGTTACCTACCTAAAATGTTCATATTTATTAATTTTTAAAGATTTTTATAATAAAATACCCATTTAAGTACATATTTCATAACTTTTATTATTCGTTTACTGGGTTTATACAATTTTGTATCGACTACAAAGTAGGAACCTACCGAAGTACGAAGAAAGCATTAGAACCTAATTAGACAAATTATGAGATAGGAACATACCTACTTATGTCGTAATTTATCTAATTGTATATTATCTGACAATATAAGATTTTTTATGTTACCTACTATCGGAAGTACACAGTTTAACAGACCGTCTCCCCGGAAGAAGGTGTGTGAGTTTCATACCCATTAAAAACCATTGCCAGAGTCACGAGGACACGAGGAACCACTGCGTCTCCGGCCGCGTTAGGCCTCCTGTAACACGATGTTAGGGCGATCTAATTCGCCCCACTCAATTGTCAAGAGTGTGGGTATAAGCTCACGCCTCCGGGGCCGATTGATTGAGACAATAGTCTCCCCCAAGGCGAGCACCCTGGCCCAGTGGGGGAATTGTGCACACGACTAACGGTTTACGCTGGCGGGACAACAGTGGTGGATGAGAAGATGAGCATGAGATCAAGTCACTTAGCTCGTCGTGGTAAATCAACCAGAAATTTACCACAATGGTTTCCAGGTGGGACTGCGTGAAGCTCAACCGGACATGTTAAAATATTAGGCATGATGTTATTAATACACATAACTTAGAATCCACTTCCCCCAAAGTACACAGACTATATCTACCTACCTATCTATAATACCTATGTTACTTAGCTATAGGCTAGGCATTTTTGGAAAGAACCTGAGCTAGTTTTTCGAGATAGTAAACTTAAAAACTCGATCCTCATTTCATAATCCTCTCTGGTTCCCGCCAGCCATATATCTTTAGCGCGTTGGATACACCACACCACTAAAAAGTTGTTTTTCATAATAAACAATTCAAAACTTTTTCACGGATATTTACCACGATAAATTATTAGGTCCGATATTCCGAGGTTCTTAGAAATATCAAGTACCTATATATAATGGTGATATACCTAATGTACGTAAATATATTCGACGACCTCGGTGGTCTAGCGGTTTAACTTCCTTGTTCCGATTCCTCGCACAGTACAAATATTTGTTTTCATGAGTATGAATGTTTATATTGTATTTTCTGTGTATGTATTTAAGTACAGTGGACCCCCGGTTATCCGACAAACGTTTGGCAGGGCAGTGTCGGACCATCGAATTTGTCGGATTATAGTTATATATAGTCCGGATGAAAAATTCCGGACTATAGGGGAGCCTTAGGCAGAAGAGTATCTTGTAATCCGACGAATTACAGATCCAGTGATAAGATTCTATGTTATATATGTTACATACATACTCATATGCACTCTGAAGTATATTTGTCAAAAAAATATTCAATAATAGACCATGTCGGATTACAAGGGGGGCCGGATTACCACGGGTCCACTGTATATAGAAATCTAGTAACTAAGCATAACAAGTTCTTTAGCTTGGGACTAGATGGCACTGCGTGAATTATCCGGGGTTATTACTACATCATGGTAAACATATTGTTTATATGATGTGTATCTACCACTGAATAATATTTACTGTACCCAACTATCTACACAAATACAGTTTCAATAGTAGAAAGATAACAGGAGCGATGTATACTCTAAAAATAAGTCTGCATGGACATCAGTTTCACCTAGTTCAAGCCCCATACAGCTCGCATTGTAAGATGTGTGAGATAAAACAATGAGAGATAACGTTAGGATCGTTATGCTATCTGTACCTACATGTGTTACTAGGTTTACCACTAACCGTCCGACGCGACGGGTCGTTAGCGTCTTTGCCATTCCAATTACATAAAAAACAGGCTCTTTCTCAGTTATGAATAATCTCAGGAATAAAGCAAAAAAAAGAGCACATATAACAAATAAAGTAATTTTACCATGAGGGTTCTTCTAGGAAGTGCCCTCATGGTAAACATACAACCTGGGCTTAGGCCGTCGTAGTTTCGATCCCCGTTGCAATGGGACTAGAGATATGTATAACAAAATAATAGTTATATATGAAACTACCTACATTACTATTGGTTTATTACCAATAATAAAAACAAAGCAAACTGGTAAAAAAAGAGCAATTTTGATTAGTTTAGGAACAAAATGAATATCACTGAATAAAAGAGGTAATAATTTTTAAATGTATACTATATTGATATTGGTAGATTACACAAATCTAAATGTGTATCACATATAACACATACTGGCTTATCAGGATACAGTTCTATTCTAGCAGTCATTCCACAACTACTGTTACATATGAGGTAATTATAAGCTTCTATTGGTGTGAAAGAGACAGAACAAAACATATTCAAATGTCCACTAGAGCAAGTAAAACCATCAAGTTGATCATCACAACATTGGCATATGTATTTATAATCTTTAGCTATGTCCATTGAAGCATACTCCTTAAAATTCTTATCATATTTTTTACAATAATATTTAAAATATTTTACTAAACCTGCAAATGTTTCAGCTAAGAACTCGTTTGGATACATTTTATTTTTTGAATACAATTTATATAATTTTTGCATGTAAGACTGTGCATACAACGCCATAATTTTATCTTTAATTAACTCTTCATTACATTCTGGTAAAAGATCTTTACTCAATTTCACATTCATTTGCAAAGTGTTATATATAATAACTATCACTAAATATATTTTAAGTTTATAAATATCTGTTTCAGCTTCTGCCAACAATTGTTTGAAATCTATTGTTGGCAAACTTTTGGTTTTCATACATTTGTACCGTAATAACTCTAAGTAATCCCACATGTTTGTTAAACTTTTTAATGGATTATTTAAAAGCATTTCCATTTCTGCAACACTATTTGAGTCCGCAGAAAGGATTACAATCTCAATTTTCATATGTTCTTTTCTAATTAATATTTTCCTGCTGAAAAGTCCTAAGGCACATAACACATTGTTACTAGAAAAAGAGAGACCATAAAGTTCATAATTCTCATAAGTCTCTTTTAGAGGGACAATGTCCATTTTAACATCAAGATTATTGTTAGAAATTTTAAAAGCAACCTTATAAATTTCACAATTTACGGTACCAACATAAAATATATCTGTACATTTAGTAATAACAGAAATTTTGTAGTCATTTATATTTTTAAGAAATTGTGACAATATGTTACAATCCATATCTAACAATAACACTACTAAGTGTCTGTGCTTGGTACACATGAATATTATTTTGTTGTCTATAATTGTGTGGTGAAAGTTTTTAGCAATCATTCTATCTTTATGTGTCCACAGTACATGTTTACTTAAAACTTTTACATTTTTATCCACTTTACAATTTAAGGCAACTATTTCTCCTACCATGTTTGAATAAAATAAAGTAAATGTATTATCACATCTGTCTAACCATTGAATTGTCATTATTTCACTTGATTCCATTTTTATACAACCACAGTATTCAGCATTTATTAATAAATCATTTCTTTTTATGAGCCACACCAATATATTACCATTTTTTTGGGCGCTAACAAAGTAACATGTATTATCATGATTGAGTTTTGGAGCCCAACATATAGCACTTGATACTACAGTATGAGCAGTTTGTTTTAATTCATCGAAGCATTGAGGTTTATTTGATATTATAGGAAATTCCTTACATACAAGTTCGGAGATGTCAAGTGGATTGGCCCATGTGCATCGTTGAGGAACAAACAACTGTACATTTCCTATGTTATTCAAAACAGCCAGAACACTTTTGTTATTATAACAGAGATCAATAGGCGACCAGTCAAATGCAACAATAGATACCATTTCCTGGACTATATGAGGACTATAAGGCCACAATGAGGGATCTAGTACTAATTGCGACATCTCCATATTACTCAAGCCTTTCTTGATAAAACTGTTGTTCGACAGGTAACCTGTAACAGGACTGGATTTCGAGATAGGTACTAAAAATTCCGTGCAGTCGAGATTCTTGTCTAAGCATCGCAAATTGTGTGTAAATTTGGTACAGTTTATGCCTTTATCTGTACGAACTGTTAGTACGGAATTGTGCCACATTAATATAGGTTCTTCATGCCTGGAAATCGTAATAATACGCCTTGATATCTCTTGTAAATTGTTTGCCAACATAATTACAATTACATTTAAAATTAGTGTAAACGTAATTTATCAAATATACTTTATTAATTCTTTTACTTTATTTGAATAAAAAAAAAATGAATAGTGAACAAACATATAATAACATATTATTAATTTTATTTGTCTTATAGTTTTTCTGGTCTGTGATTTGACATTTGAGCAGTTGACATTGATAGACTCAAATTGACGTAGTTATTCATGACAGTAACATACCAATACCTACCAAGGATAAATAAAAGTTTATGCCGGAAGAAATAAACTATTAGTGAAATTAGTTTTCAATAATATGGGTATAAAATTAAAACAATATTTGTAATTACTAAATAATCAATTAGGTATATTTTGAAACTCGATTAATCATAATTTTATAGGACGAAGCGTACAAAGACGTGTAACCGGAGGAGTAGATGAATAAATAAATCTTAGAGTAAATGTTATCCAAACAATGCATTACTGCTTTTATTATCTGTGGCATAAATGACAACATATATACCGTAAGATGACATAAGTAGTCAAAATGTCATTAAATGTCATAACAAAAACACATGGTCCATGGACCACGAAGTATATACGATTAACTTTAATAATATAATGTAAATTATAATCACCTCCAAAATTGAATACCAATATATGAAAATCGCTTCCAATTTTGTTGATAACTATTTGAAGAATTCTTATATTTTTAGAATATAATGGGCAAGTCACGACATAATGAGAAAGCCCGAAAAGTTGTTAAAACCAGCATAGACAACACTGAAACTAATGAGGTGAGATTGTAATATTTCTTATAAAATTAAGGTCTTACTTATACTTAGAATCGAGATACAATTCAAGATGACGTACGACTTCAGTGTGTGAACAACTCCTAATGTTGCCGATAGACTGAAGTCGTATCCTTCAGGCAGGAGTTGGCTTTACTTTATTAGGCTTTTGGCTTTTCCTTCCGCCAGTTTAGAGAGCCGTCTGCACTAACCCCATATCCCGCCAGCCGGCCAGCTGCAGCCAACAATATTGGAACAGAAATAAACAGCAACTTAGAGAAACCAATAATCTGTTTACATTTGTTAATTTGTGACATGCTGATTTCTAGATCAAAGTTGATTTTGCCAACGATGAATATGGTGCATCAGATAAAAGTAATTTATTGGTTTTACCGTCAAAGAAAAGGAAAACCAAGGTCATACAGGAAAAAAAGGAAAAAATTAAATTACTTTCCAAGGCCCAACGAAAACAACTGGAGAAAATTGTTGATAAGAAGAAGAAAAAAGCAAATGTATGTATTTATATAGTTTTACACTACTTGATATATTAATTGCCACATTCGCGTCATATGTTCCTCAATGTAGTAAAAATGAGGAATTAGGTATTTATTGAAATTTCTTTTTTACAGCGAGCAGCTCTATTAGAGTCTCTGTTACAAGTGCAAGCATCACCAGATGAAGTCAATCAAATGACAACTATATCATCTATGCAAACCATTGGCCTCAGGCATTTATCAAAGTATAATTTAGAAGCACCTGTGGAGAAGGCAGAATTACCAGAGAATAAAAAGTTCAGTAGCATTGCAGGTAACTTGATTAATTTTAATTAATTTATTGTAGTTTACAATAAAATATACATACTGTTTAAAATTTGGTACTTACTGATACTGATTTTATTAAACATTTTTCCAAACTTATATTTATTTTTTGTTGTGAAATACCAAAAACTATGTAACATAGAGATAACACAAGCCCAAATATAATAGTTGTGTTGTGCCTGACAAAACACTTGGTTGCTTTTGGTCTTGTAGTTTATTGCTATCTGCGTGATGTCAACAAGATTATACTATTTCTACAAAATTAAGTGCAGTATCTACTTTACTTTCATTTCCGTCACTACTTAGTTGTCATTACAATGAATTGTCTAAAAGTTTCAACCTAATTGGCTTTTAGTCTTAAATTCATGATCTTAATCTTAATTAAATTAGTGATGTAATCCTCCAAATTATCAAAAATATATTTCAAAATATGAGTGAATAAAAGTCTAAAGCTGTAAATGAATTTATGTAATATAACTATGAATATTGTTAATGAATTCCAAGTTTCATTGTTTATGGTAAAATAATTCAACTTCTAATTATATTATTTTACAGGAGCAAAAAAACGGCTAAGACTTTTAAAAATGGATAATGCAGGTAAAATAAAGAGGAATAAATATGATCCAAATGTAGTAGGTCTTGAGCAGTCATCCACTGAAGAAAGTAGTTCAGAATCAGATGATGATGTATCAGATGTTGTAGAAAATGGTAATGAAGATGTGGAATTAATTAAAGTTGATACAGTAAATGATGAAAGTAGGACTGAAAATGATGTTTCTCTTATAAAAGAAGAAAATCCTAAAAACAATGATAATACAATTGTAAAAGAAACAAATAAAACTAAAAAGGTAAACAAAGATGCTCTTGATGTTAAGGAGAAAGTAAAAAAGCCACTGCTTGAGCACAAAACAGTTCACATAGAAGTGAAAAGAGATCCAAAAGTGCAAGTCGCAAGATTGAAGCTACCAATTTTGGGAGAAGAACAAAGAATTATGGAACTGGTTAATGAGAATGAATTTTTAATTGTGGCTGGTGAAACTGGTAAGTATTGATAGTAAAAAGTTAGAGTAAAAAAAAATTTGTTAAACCGTTATGGATAATGGAAATGGATATATGGATTATGACCCTTTTCATGTCTTTGTTCCAATTCACGATTAAGTCATTTATCATGTAAATTATTGACATGATGAATTGAAAGGTGTTAATTTTTTTATTATATATCTTTTGTTTTATAGGAAGCGGCAAAACAACACAGCTTCCACAATTCCTTTACGAAGCCGGTTATGCTCAGAACAAGATGATAGCAGTGACTGAACCTCGCAGAGTTGCTACAGTTGCAATGGCGGCGCGGGTCGGCCACGAGTTGGCTCTCAGCAATAAAGAAGTGTCCTACTTGATGCGATTCGAAGGAAACGTTACTAAGGACACTAAAATCAAGTTTATGACTGATGGTTAGTATAAAAAGATCTATAAAAAGAGTTTAACTATAAACTGATAATTATAATAAAATAGCAAAAGAAATTGTGTATATTTATATTTAAGTATATTTTTTTTTATACATCATTTATTTTTATTACTGGTTGTTAGAGATAGTGTGAAAAACAATTTATATACATAAGTACCAATACTACCAATAATGTTCTATAAGAAGAAATGATTTTGACTTTGAAATATCAAATTTTCAGGTGTACTTCTAAAAGAGATTCAATCAGATTTTTTATTGAGTAAGTACTCGGTAGTGATCATTGATGAGGCTCACGAGAGAAGCGTCTACACTGACATACTGCTTGGTTTACTGTCTAGAATAGTGCCGTTAAGGAGAAAGCGCGGGAACCCGCTTAGATTAATAATAATGTCGGCCACATTGAGAATAGAGGACTTCACTGAAAACACCAGGCTATTTAAGGAACCACCGCCAGTTATTAAAGTAATTGCTTATATGTAATTCTATAACAATCTATGATGTTTTTCTAGTTTTAAAATTATTTTTTAATGGGTGAGAATGGTATTTTGCATTCATCTTCGCTAATGGTATAAAGTCAAGTGAGGGGGGTGTAATTATTATTATGGTTTATTAATAATTTAATTAATATAATATTCCTATATTAATTAAATACTAAAAACACTAATGTATCAGTCAAATGCTAACTAAATATGATAATGGTCAAGAGAAACCAAATGTAATTTTGTTGCATTGTAGTATAATATGTGGGTGGGCGATAATATAGTAAGTACATATTTTATTCTACAACTTACTGAGCCGGAGTCATCATATCTGTGGTATTTGAATATCAATAGATTATTATTTTTTTGTTTGTAAATTGATTCAATTAAAAAAAAAACACTCAATTTTAAGAAAACCTAACCACAATACATTAGTTAAAACCTCACCCAAATCAATTGAATTGTTTATGAGAATTGTGCGCAAAAACGCACAGACAAAAATTTTAACAATAATCATTTTGTATTCTATTACGTTGATAAATACCTACATTGGTTTTTCTTAGTTCCTTGTACCTTGAGAGAAATTAGTTACATTTTAATAATGTGTAGTTGTAGTGATAATTAATATAAATTATTTTTATATGTAGATAGATTCAAGACAGTATCCAGTGACAATTCATTTCAACAAACACACTTACAGTGACTATTTAAAAGAGGCATATAGAAAGACAGTCAAAATACACACTAGATTGCCCGATGGAGGAATTCTTATATTTGTAACAGGTCAGCAGGAGGTATGTTCTTGTTAGTATTTTGTAGAATAGTTATCTAATTATGATGGCGTGGTTTATATTGACTACCTACTGAACTATTTACTTAACTAATTATTGTATTCAAAGCATTGCTATTCATTGTGGTGTGAAGTGTACATGTACAACGGCTAGTAATCAGCAAAATGAATGAGTAGTAATGAATTAATAATGCAGTTTTTGTGTGACCCCGATGTCAAATTTAGATACTATTATCTAAATTTGACATCGAATCTTAGGGTTAGGGTTTTAAAGCAAAACGTTTACAATTCTTTTAGTACTTATAATAATTAACACTTATAGTTGTAATAATGAATTATGTCAGCTTGACCGAATTATTTACTTGTAGCATGATTGTTATATATTCTTTGATTATTTATGTATTCATTTTCAAACATACAAATATTATAAAGTTAATTATACATTGGACCTCGCTAGGCGAACCTGTATTGCGGGAGTCCACAAAAGAATTTCCAAATAATTATTAGATATAACAAATCAGTGAGCAGAGTAGATCTGATATATTAGACGAATTAAGATATTAAAGTTTGATTTCATAAAAAAACTTTGTACCTCACCACTGTAGTGTTGTGTACGATGTGATGAGGTGTGGCTACTTAATTTATTTGTTTCCTGTAATATCTAGGCAGTTAGTATACAGGTGTAAATAATTGTACATTAGTAAGTTTATTTGATAGTGTGCTACATGGCTTATTAGTAACGTGTATAATTGGTAATAATTTGTATATTATGAAATACAATGTGTTGCAATTATGAATATACCATGTTATTTTACTTGTTTAAGTTACTGCTTATCAGATAATTAAAAACTTTTAGGTGAAGTACCTGGTACGTAAGTTAAAAGCATCATTCCCGTACCGCAAGGATGTGGACTATTCAAAGCTTATCAAAAGGACTAAGGCCGTCAGCGAAACGGAGGCTACGCTAGATTCTGAGGCTGATGATATTGAGTCGGATGATGATGAGGTATGATAATCTAATTCATTCTATTATTCTAAGATCTTTGTTTAATGTTAAAGTAAAAATCTTTATAATCTCCAAGCTGTAATAAGAGGCGACTGTGAGAAGTACAGCTCGAAACAAAATTGATAAACTTGCCTACATAGTAGTAGTAAAAGTTGTAGTGTGATAACATATTTCGGGGGAATAATTATTATTGTGATTGCTTTATTTAGGTGGAGAAAGAAATGAAACGCGCTAGAAAAGCAAGAAGAAAAGCTAAGCAGAAAGTAAAAACACTTCCAAAAATTAATTTGGATGACTATGACATGCCTGATGACGATGGACAAGCAGATCTAGTTGACGATGAAGATGAAAGTGAAGGACATTTAAGTGATTCTGGTATATTATAGATTTTATTATTAAAAATTCGTAAAAGTTATTATAAGAAACTTTAGTTTGAATTATTATTACGTCCTACTAGAGAAATCGTTATTTAATCGTTATCGAAGAATAATCGTTTATTTCAATAACTTTTTTTATTTTTTTTATTCTTCAGCACATGTCGCTTCACAGTTTTCTTGCAATGCTGTATGGTTACATTAATTCAGTGAAATTACAGGTTACTAGTTACAAATGCGCATGCATATGCATTTAAACAGTGTGCCATACACCACATTAGGTAGACTGCAGTGACTGTTTACCGAGTCTCATTATATGCTTGATTGTTATAATTGAAAATAAAATCTTTATATATTTTAGATGGAGAAGAAGATACACTTACACCAACAATAAAATCATGCCGACAACCTCTATGGGTTCTACCTTTATACTCTATGCTCAATTCAGCTAAGCAAGCTAGAGTTTTTGCTTCACCTCCAGTTGGAGCCAGGTTGTGTGTAGTCAGTACGGACGTAGCTGAAACATCGCTGACTATACCTGCTATTAGATATGTTGTGGACAGTGGCAAGAAGAAAATGCGGTAAGTAATAGCTTTTTGTACTACTAATGCGACAACAAATTAATTGGATTATAAATAGCAAATGAGTAGACAATGTTGGGATTCCTAAATTCGAACATTGTTTATACTCGAATTTGTCAGCTTTTTACGTCGATGAAAATGCCTTCTGAAGTGGGGGCAGTAGAAACTACTTTCTTTTTAAAATGGCTAAAATAGATATAAGTTTTTTCAGAACATTACATACATATATAAACTATTCCCAAGTAGATATTTAATACTGGAATTTACCACTGAAATTACTTTCTGAAGTGGAACGTGGAGAATTTTGAACTTGCAAAGATGGCTAATTCTATATATATATATAAGATTTTCTGAATCGTGCATTGCAAAAAATTGTTTCGTTCATCATCATCATTAAGGTTTTAGGCTAGTGTCAGGTTCTAAGACCTGCGATCTGCATAGATCTATTGTGCTCACCCTTAAAAATCATTGCAATTTGTTTCGTTATAAGTGTATACGACCACGTGACGGGCGCGAGTGCGTGGCGCGTGGTGTGGACGTCGCAGGCGAGCGCGGGGCAGCGAGCGGGGCGCGCGGGGCGGGTGGGCGCGGGCCACGCCTACCGCCTCTACAGCAGCGCCGTCTACCAGCACGACTGTCCCCCCCACCACCCGCCAGACTTATGTCGCCGCCCGGTCGACGACCTCGTGCTCGCCATGAAGTGTATGGGCATAGATAAGGTAGATCGGGGTTACTTTACATTTTAAGTAGATGAATGTTACATATTTATCCGTAGCTTTTGAAATAGAGAAACTTGTGCCATTATGATGTCCAAGTAGCCAATTCCATTAAATGTTTGGGGATAAAAATGAAGATTTTTTTTAATTAAGTATAAAATGAACTTTGGACTTAACTCATGGGACTGCTGGGTTACTTATAAGAATTCATTAATAGTTTTTCAATGTCAATAATAGCGTTTACAGCTAGTTTATCTTGATAATCAAATACTTAATTATGTTTCTGCAGGTGGTAAATTTCCCATTTCCGACTGCGCCAGACAGATTGCAACTCCGTTTAGCAGAAAAACGTCTTGAAACACTGGGAATATTAGAAAAACTCGAAGTAAAGAAGAAAAGAATAGATGACGATGATGTAAGTACTTAATTGTCCACTTATTCTGACATACCACATCAGGGTGACCAGGGCAATAACCGTTGCAGTTAATTCCTAATGAATTTGTCACGCCGGGTTAACTGACTTGATTTCATGGTCAGGCTATCCTGCATCTTTGCACTTGTGTCCCTCCAGCGTATAGTGTTAACGGCGGCAGAGGTAACATTTCAATCCTAATAAAAAATATTCCTGGTTATAGCCCATGTTTACCACTTATTATTACTTTACTGTTACGTTACTTTTTCATGCAAATACTAATTTTGATGTAACTTTATAGTAATATAACTTATACATCAGAATAACACATAGGCACACACATATAAATTTTACGCAGGTGAAACCGCGGGCTAAGCTAGTATATATTAAAAGCAAATAATTATAGAGGGTATAGTATATATTAAAAAAAATAACTACATCCACATGTTGACAATTGGCTCTATGTTTTAAATAATTTACAAGTAGGCTCAGAACCTAATTACCTTTTTTATGGCAGATATTTTGTTACAGATATTAAAAGTGACGCCATTAGGTAAAGCAGTCTCGGCATTCCCGTTGCTGCCCCGGTATGGAAAAATGCTAGCACTCAGTCATCAACAGAATCTCTTATGTTATACTATCGCCCTGGTATCGGCTCTTACAGTACCTGAGGTAAATTTGGATTTTTTTTTATTTGATATCGATGTTTCGCAACCGAAAAGTCAGATATAGGCATAAGCTTTTTTAGTGCCGGCCAGATTAGAACTCGCGACTTCTTTAGTGTAAGTTAGGGTAGTAAATCACAAGGCCACGACGGACTTTCCTCTGTATAATAACTATAGATAAAGTAAAATATATGTCAGGAGCAGTTTTTTTTAAAATAACTAGCCCAGGCGGATGTATATTTCGCCATTACAAAGAAGCTGGTTATTCTGGTTTAAACCAATTTTATTTCTTTATGGTTGTTTATTTTTTTAGGTAATGAGTGGAAAACCAGACAACTGGCCTGCAACCGGACATACTCTCTTGTTAGGCGATCCCGGGGTACTGTTGCGGGCTATAGGCGCTGCCGAGTATGCATACGTCCAAGGCGAAGAAGAGTTATTCTGCGCTAAATATGGAATCAGAGAAAAGGTATGAATATTAGTAGTTGACAAGATAAAAACAAGTTTTAGTGCATTCTCTAGTTCACTAGTGCAGTTTCTAGTTCGTTTGTTCTGTACTCAACACGGAGTGCTTTCATGTTCCATCAGAAGTTTTATTTGCTATTTTCACTTTTAATTACTTATGTAACCAGTTTTCCCTCTACAAAACTATTAATATAATTCTAATGGTGTCAAAATTAGTATTAAGTCAATACATATATGTATATACTCATATTATAAAGAGGTAATGTTTTTGAGTAATTTCCGGAACTACTTTAAAATTTGAAAATTCCTTTTTTTTTTCGATAGCCCAGTTATCGAGAAAACCTATAGACTGTGTAACATTACACTACAACCAATAGTACGTTTTTGCAACATTTTTCAATGTAGCTTGAAATTGAAAAATGTTGCAAAAACGGCAAACGGGTTACGCAGAAGTTGGGAGATTTAGCCAATAAAAACGAAACGTAAAACATGTAGTTGAATAAACTTTTGAAAGACAATTAAAAAATCTCGTTATTGTAATTTCCAGGCTATCAAAGAAATCCGCAAGTTAAGGAAACAACTTACATCGGAGATCAATCTCAGTGTCGCCGGTGTTGATGTTGTAGCAGATCCTGATATGAAACCTCCGAATGATAATCAAGCCAGGCTACTACGGCAGTTGGTACTTAGCGGACTTGGTGATCAAGTCGGCAGGAAAATTGGACTGGATGAGGTCAAAGAAGGTAAGGAATAATTGATAATATGGTGCTGAATATGTTGATGGTTACTGGAAGAAGTTTTTGTAAATCATTCAGACTTTTGGATATCACTGTCTTTTTAATTTAACTTAAGAAGCATGTTTTCTATACATAAAGGTATAATAAAAATAATTTTATATTTATTACGCGATGGCGAAATATGTGCATATGTAATAAAACCACATAACCCATTTTTGGTCGAAATCAGTACCTGTCGAAATAATTAAGAATATAATAGATCATTTATTCAAATAAACTTAATTTAAGCACTTTTGAATAGTCACAACAATTTTTGTTTAATCTACCGCTCATTCGGCAAGCTGTCTCATCACAAGAAGAACGAGAAAGAAACTTGTGTGTTGCTCTTTTAAATAATCCTTGGTAAATCGTTCATATTTATAATCATTACATAGTACATTACTTGTTACTGAATATAAGGTTACAGTTTATATGCGCTCGGTTTGAAAACTTCGACTTGAGCTTCTTACACCGTGTTTTATTTAGTCGTAATCCATTATATTGATAGTAGTATATGTTAATATGTACTCAATTACACTGTCACTTTTACGATGAAATTGTTACTTAAAAATGGCTTCTTTAAGCATTTTTAAGCTCCATAAAATAATATAATTATATGAAATTAATACTTCATAGGGGAAGATAAACGCAAATTCAAATATGCGTACCATTGTGGCGAGCTCGATGAACCAGTGCATCTACATTCTGAATCCATACTCCGCAAAACGATACCTGAATGGGTAGTCTACCAAGAGCTGTATGAAACCGGTGCTGAAGAACGACGGAAAATGGTGATGAGGAACGTGACAGCCATAGAACCTGAGTGGTTGCCTGTTTATGTACCATACTTGTGTAATTTGGGTATGTAGACAAGTATATTGTGCAATTTTCAGCATAGAATAGTACCTTGTTTTCTGGAGATGTTAAAAAAATATAGTTACTGTTGCTTTTAAAGTACGCAACATTTTAACGGCAAGTGTTGCTTATTATAAATATAGTCCAGACATATATCTATATTGTAAATAAAATAATAAAATAAATGCGAAAGTAAGTGTTTGCAACGATTTCAAGCTTTAACGGCTTCATCACTATGATATGTAATGTAACACATATATAATGTAGGTTGTAGTATTTAGAACCTTTTAATATACAACTATGAAACGTGTTTAGAATGATATTTAGTTGTATACTTTATTTTGTACCATTATCTTATGTTGTAAGATTTCCGTAATGTATCTAATATATGGTATGGTAAGCCTATGTACTCGAACAACACTATAAACATCGTGTTACCTCTCATGCGTCTACGAAATCATGACTCCGTGCCTTTGTAATCTCACTGCCAACTTCCGCGCCAATGAGGTTTGATTTGTAGTAAGTATTTTATATGACTCTTTTTGGCAGATGAAATAGGTGAGATAGAGGTACCCAGACAGGCAATTTTGTACAACTACTACTCTACATACCTACCTCGGTACTTCGCGGCTACCTCTGTAATTTCGCAATGTTCCACGGTACTCTCGTTTAATGGCGGAGTCACAATTTCCTTCTAAACAGTTAATTTCGTTTGTTGTGAGATATGTACTAAAAATATATATAATAGTATATTTTCTATTGCAGGCGAACCTTTAGCAGACCCAGAGCCAAGATATGATGAGAAGTCGGGGCGGGTAAAATGTCACTTTAAAGGAACATTCGGTAAAGTCGGATGGGAGTTGCCCACTGTTGAGATTGATTATCCAGAAAAAATTGAAAGTTATAGGTAAGCTTATTTTATAATATTCATTTTAGTTGACACTTTTATATCCATTCATAATGGAAATATTATAATTTGTATAATGCATGCCTATACTTAGGCATAACAATTCCATCATATAAGCAGTCCAAGTCTAATTATATGTTGTGGAACAATAAATAGACGTACGATAATGATATATACACATAAAATATGTTTATATAATAGATATTAATATTCGGCTCCAGAACTTGACAACTTTAAAAAGTCAGTACAATACACGAATAATTAAAAACTATCAAATCCCGCAGACGTCGTCTTGCATGGATGAGCAACACTATATACCGTATCGAATTGTACATATTTTTGAAATATTGAAATTTATACATGCAATTGAAACTAAATAGGTTCATCAGTTTTGAATGATTTAGGTGACAAACACAAGCGTAGCAGAAGTATAATACCTTCTTCTGCACTTGTGTTAGGTTCACAATGGAATAAAATTTTCAATGTAGTCACTACAACAAAGTAGTACATTGTTTGTTTTCTGTTCCGTTTGAAAAGAGGCCTTTTGATCTTTTAGTTAAATAAAACAAACCAGCTTTTATAAAATATAATAATGTGTCTTAACACGCTTTTTAGATAATGCGTAATATAGTCGCAGGCAATAATATACTGCACACTATATAGAGAACAATATAGTAGTATATTTAGATGTTTTTTCTTTATTGGAAGTAGCAGCAGACAGGTGTGCTAGTAACAAATTGTTATTTGTCATAACTCATGTATATAATGTAAATATTAATGATTTTTGTAGATGGTTCGCACGATTCCTGTTAGAAGGAGTTGTGTTTCCAAAACTACGTAAATATACGGGATCGTTACTCTCTCCGCCGTCCACAATGGTAAAGAGCTGGGCCAAATTACAGCCCAGAACTGAAATACTATTGAAAGCGTTAATTATGAAGAGGATTGGAAATAGGGACGCGTTGGTAGCAATGTGGAAGGAGCAATCGACTTGTAAGTACTACAATATAAATAGAAATATACAATTAATTTGTTTTTTTTCGAAATACTCTAATGCAGTTGGCATTTATACCTTCACCGGACGATACGAAGCGAGTGCAGATGGCACTCCAAAGCAGCAGAAGGACTTATGAATATTCCTTAAGAGCAATTTAGAATACACTTAGATTGTGGAATGAACTTCCTGCTGAGGTTTTCTCACGAGACTAATGGGGTTTTTCTTAATATTCCTTAAGCCCATAGTTAACCATTTACTATCAGATGGGCCGTATGCTTGTTTCTTTTTTTCTTTTATAGTAATCCACCATAGTAGATAAAAGAAAAAAAGAATTCTGAACTGAATTATTATTTGCTATCTATAATATATCATCACGCCAAGTTTGTTACGTAGTAGGCAGACAGCACGTGTCAATTCAGAGGGTGTTGACACGCGTTTCATGTTTTTATGATACATTTACGAATATGTGCGCCATTCAAAAATCAATAGTTGATAATTGACGCCAGTCATTGTTGACTTAGTAACATTTTATTTATAAACGTGATGGTTGTTGAAAAATTGTGTAAATTGAATAATTATTTGAACAGCTGCATTAATTTCATCCGACTGCGATAATCGCATGAAATTTATTTAGCAACGGAATATTTTCAGTTTTTAATAGTTATTTTATGTTATAATAAAGTCGACTTAGTTATTGAAAATATAGCCCTGACAGATTAAGGATATAAGATTTTATCGTTTCCGTACCGATTCAGAAATTCAAATAGTACAGAATACTGATTTTTGGTGACTCTAATCTAAAGAATTGCGATTTTAGTTCCAATTTAGAAATGGAATAATTTTAATGTTACTACATTGACCTCTATATCTATAGTATTAAAGCACTTAATATGTACAAAGAAATCTTGTTTTAGAAAATTATTAGCGTATCCGATACATTTTTCTATGCTATGTTACGTAATTGATATCAATGTTATTGTTACAGATCTACTAGACGAGTATTTGAAATGGCTACCGGAATCGGCACAAAATGAGGCAACGATGCATTGGCCCCCATTGTGATTATAAATGAATTATGAATTTGTAAATATTGTAAATAAAGTTCTAAATAATTGTATGTCGTCACTTTTATTTATTAGTTACTACATTTGAAATTGCAAAAGTTATTTAAGTATTTTTCTGTATGTTATGATATTATGGATAATCTACTTGATAAACAGATTTGGATAACTAGAAATTTGATGTTACAGATACTTGCAATACACATCCGTAATATACGTAGGTAAATTATTCTAAAACCTAACATTCAACTACTTTATTATCTTAAAATTTTTTGGTATGCATTCACAACAATATTAGAATTTTACATTGTTAATTAACCATTTAGATAAAAAATATGTTATACTACATTAAATTAGGTTTAATACCCTTTCAAAAGATATATTAATGGTCTATGGTCGGGACTCCCTAAAAATTGTTTTTAACCCGTAGGTTATCAACTTAAAGCTTTTGTTTTAGTTTAGTAATATACCTAATAATAAGCAATTATGTTTTTTACGTCATAACAATCAAGTGCCATATTTAGTAGATAAACTTTCAAATTATGAAAGGTTTTCGTCTTATAACTTGGAAATTATATATTTGTTAACAGATTTTTCGTTTTAGAAATATTCTGGATAGAATAGAAATAATATTTATACAACTTAAATTAAATTTAAACACTTTGTGTTTTAATCTACCACATATTCAGAAATCAGTCTCAGCATAAGTAAAGCGATCAGCAAAATTGGCGAGTGCTCTAATAAACAAATATTGTAACTTTATATTTTTACGTCGATATTTATTTATTTACACATAAAACATACTATTATTATAAGCATTTATTTAGCAAAGTGCAATCGCTACAAAACTGAATTGATAACCAACACTATGGATGCTTATAAGCTAAATTATTATTATTATATATATTATGTATGCTAGATAATGCTAGACAATAAAAAGTATTTTAAATCCTAACATAAGCACCATAAAATAAGTAAAACTTGATTTGAAATGTGCTTTAAATATCAATACTTTAAAATACCGAATCGAAAATTCCATTTGTATCCTCAGTAAAGTAGGTGCGCAATAAATATATTACTACTACTAGGTGTACCCGCGACTTCGTCCGCGTGGAATTTAACAAAATAATTAATTAGATAATTTTTCTAAAATAAAAGTAGCCTAAGTTACTCCTTATTACATCAGCTACATGCCAAAAAAAGTCCCGTCAAAATCGGTCCAGCCATTTCAGAGATTAGCCGGAACAAATAGACAGACGGACAGACAAAAATTGTAAAAACAATCTTTTGGTGTGTACTGTAATTATATTCATAAGCATGTAGTAAAAAACGGTAATTTCAATATTACAAACAGACACTCCAGTTTTATTTATATGTATAGATGTATATATAATTGTTTTTATATTCCTTAGTCACTATTTCCTGAGTATAAAAAAAACCTATTCCTTAATTTAAATATTAGGAACAAATATTTAAGATGTAGCTGTTTAGTTAATGTCTTTGTCTGACACCAAATATTTTTTTTTGGCGGGAAAATGGATCGTCATTGATTCCTCTCTGAATACTCATTGAATAGTGAATGGTACTATGTAATATTATGTTATCTGTGATGGTACTAAGAAAAGGTAGTTATTATTTACGTAGTTAGTGGTGTGGTTATTCCTTGGGTGTGGTCAATGAAGATATCTACGGATTATACCTAATGGACGTATATGTCATATGTTTTAGAAGGGTGAGTATTATTCTGGTCTTAGTTTGGCGCAATATACTAATGACATTAGTTGGTATACATAATTGAACTTTAACAAACTATAAATAATTTAAAACTTAATGATCTGTTGAAATTTATTTTACTTAGATAAATAACCTCATTAGTTCAGATGAAATCAATAATAATACGTACATCTCAACTTCTTATCAATTTGCGATAAATGTCTATTAGAGGTCAATTATTGCAAATATTATTAGTATTTGGATTATTTCGGTTATATGTAGAATACCGATGGAAGTCCCGTTTCATAAAAATTCATAAAAAAATTATTATAAAAATAAAAGCGGCGTACATATAGTCAACACAATTTATTTAAGCGCGCTAAGTACCTATTTAATTATTTCGTATGAATGTGTAAGGAAATAATTAATTAAATTTAATTAAAAAGATAGTAAGTAAATTAATATTGTAACAGGTAAGTACGTAGGTACGGAAACTTTTTAGGTAGGTACTTCAACAGATATTTATATGGAACCTTACTAATATCATAAATGCGAAAATAATTCTATCTGCCTGTCTCGCAACACGCTAAAATTAGTGAACCGATTTAAATGAAATTTGATGCACAGATAGTCTAGACACTAAGAATGGATATAGGCTACTTTTTAATGCGAAAAAAAGTTGTAAGGGGTCGAAAAGGGGAGATAAAAGTTTGCATGGAAGTATTGTCTTTTTAAAGCTAGAAGCTTGAAAACTTATTGTTTAGGTTATTGATTAAACTAAATATGACATTGACAAATATAAATAAATATGACAAAGTTTGCAAATTGTTACCTTTAAGGGAGTAAAATAAAATAGGGGATGAAAATTTCAATGGATATTCGACATTTTTGAAGCTTGATCGATGATTCGTTTTTCTATATTTTGTTAAGATCACTATCTCGCGAATGAAGTCGCGGGCACAGCCATGCAGATATAACAATTATAAATTATTATAACTATTATATCTGCTGTAGAAAAAAAAAACGATTCTGATCGTTTTTTCGGAAGCCGTCTTTATCCGTTGTGTACTTGTCACTTGTATAGTCTTTTAAACTACTTTTGTTTGTGCGGGAAGATCCTTCCATTATAAGTCCAGTTGCTGTTGCCATCTGTCACCTTAATACGCTATAAATAAAGGAACAGTATTTCAGAGATAGGTTCGTAGAAAGTCTCGTTACCGATACTGTTGTGTGGATTCAATTTCACTAAGTAAACACAAAGACAAATGCATATGGAACGCGTTCATTTTTTTTTTTTAAATAAACGTCTAACAACTACTGTATTTAAATGGATAAACTTAGTAATACAAAATATTATGTGGGTCGTAGTGCTATCATTATACCAACCTCGACCGGACGTCGACCTCCATGTGGCCGCTCCTGAGAACTATTCTGATTAGTTCCAAGTAAATTCGTCGAGTAGACTAACTGATCAGTCATATTTTCAACATAGTGCAATGGTGTTGCGCCAGCGCTTACCATTAGCGCAATAGGGTGGATAAGATCACTATCATGAAAAAAAAATGCGTATGTTCCGTTTAGTAGTATAGTATCGCTATATATTTTGAATATAACAACATATAACAACATACAGAGAATGGATACAGAAATAAAATATAATGGATATAAATTTCGTAGATATGTGAACACCGCCTTTATATATCGTTTGGCAGCTATTATCAAACGATCTGTTCGACTATTGTCAGTGTGAACCTGCACTCGAACATATAAAAACGTTCGACAGTGTACAGCTGCGACATCTTGAGCATGTAAATAATATGTACAAAGTGTAAACTCATACTTAATAGTCTTCGAATTTTTAATACCATTATGGCGGTATATAATGTAAAAGATTTTTTATTTGTGTTCGTTATTATTTATTCTACTATTGTTAATGGCTTCGCTGTTCCTTTTGAAGGATTATACGACTTAGATATTATACATTACAACGATTTTCATGCTAGGTGAGTATCAAGATGTTTTGTATTTTTTTTATTGTATAATGTTTTTTTTTTATTATAATAAGTTTTTATTCTGCATTTACTTTCGTTAACAATATTCTGAGGGATTCTGACGGGAGTGGAGGGGGATGGAATGAGAATTGTAAATTATCTCCAGGAATTAACCAAGGGTGATAAGTATCTATTGTTATACTGTATTACTTTGTGTACTAGAGTTTTGGAAAGAAGTAGATCTCTTTACATATATGGTGACGGAATTCATAAGGCGTGTAATTTCTCTCATTCTGGGATGAATTCATCATATAATTTTATTGAACAATAACCGAACATTTAATAATAAACTTAAACACATATTTTAGCTATTTCTGCATCTCGTCTCCGCTAGGATATTGGAGCTCTATGATATCGTGTCTTTTTTTCCTGGCAAAATCTTAATATTAATGTGAATTTTTCACTCGCAAATGATCATTTGAAATTTGAATGTCAATATCTACTTTATCTACTGCAATAAAATTTATCACACGAATTTAAGAGTTCATTACTCTCTTACGTATATTTAATCCGAGACAAATTTGCGTTATTTTCAAAACAAATCAAAATACGAAAGTATTTTGATTCATGTAGGTCTATTACAGACTCTTATGATATATTAAATCTACCTTTAGTTATACATATTTTCAAGCTGAGAAGAACTGACAAGAAAATCAACTATTACTCTTCAAACATATGTTTACAATAACACAGATACATTTTTGAATTCAAGTTTGGGAGAATAGAGTGACCAGTATGTAGGTACTACTTGCAGTATGCAGTTTTGTCGAAAGGAAATAGTCTAATCTAAAACTGACCAGTCCCTATAACCAGCACCTGTTTTAATAGTTGAATATAGAATAGTGAATGTGCGTGGCGATGTCGGTGAAGATAGGATGAGCACGAAGCTAATTTCAGTCAGCCCATAATGGCAAATGCACCATCAATTAATAACGATGGTTTTCATTACGGAGTGCATGAAGCTTTATTTGATATCTCATAGTTAACTATGAACCACTAGTCCACATTAGTAACAATCCCCTCCCCGCCTCTTGCACTGAATCTTCCTGTATCCCAATACATTGGGATTTATCTGTTTTTATGTAACGAACCGTTGTTGGGAAGTGTTGTTGTGTTTCCGTTTTCAACTTCCGGGTTCCGGATTTAATTTCCGGTGTGTCCATAACATTTATACACTGTGTACTAAATATTGGAAAAGCTTTATTTTTTGCTCCAACCAAAATTCATCGGTATTAACAAATATATATTTTTTATTTATTATAAACAGGTATTATCACATTATATATAAAAAAAAGGAATATTTTAAATAAAGTGAAAATATACAGAAAATTTGTGATCTTTGTACAAACCGAACGCAAAGGCTTGAATCAAAGGACATTTTGCTAAATATATATCATAAGTAGGTATATAAATTTACTCGTAAATGAAAATTATTCTTGGCCTTTTCATTTAAACAGCGAAATCAACTTGCTATATACCTACCAATCAACCACGAAGTACTAGTGCAAATAGTTGCAGGTATGTTAGTCAGTCTGAGAAATAATTTGTGATGAATATATTCTCACCATTAGCTTGATTAATATAGTTTAATAAATAAGAAGGAACCAGACCTTTCCAACCTAGAGCCAAAAAAGTAAAATAGTGAAACGGTAACCGTATTAACCTTGAGAATTTCGTTAAAAAATGACCGAAACACCATTTGTTGCTTAAGTAAATGATTAAATGACTACATCTTAAAATATAACAAGGCCATAATAGAAGTACTATTTAGATTTAATGCTGCAAAATGATTGTTATTGGTTGTATAGTAATAGATATATTAGTATGTATGTACGTAAAGTTTGTATTACAAAAAAGTTAAATAGTGCACCTATTAAATAAACCAGTGAATAAATGAAATAATTAAATAATACTTCTTGTGATAATTTGGAGTTCCAATATGTAAACAAGAGTTTCATTCCTTTCTTATATTAAACAGATTGAAATAGTAACTTTTACGATTATGTATGAAATTCACCTGTAGTCTGTAGAACATGTAGTCTTCGTGGTAGAATGTGGGCCATATTAACTCTTCTTTAATAATATATAGGAGACCACAGGTCTGCGTGACAAAACTCCTGTAATCACTCACATTCATTATTTAAATGGAGATTATGCTCTTCAGATTCGAAGAAACTTCAGTCGCCACCCCAACATGCCGTTACAATAATAATTCTTGCCTGGGCGGTTTCCCGCGCCTTTACCACGAGATTCAGGTCCTGTTGAAGGAGAAGCCAAATGCTATCTTATTGAACGCTGGCGATAGTTTCCAGGGTACTTACTGGTATACACTGTTGAAATGGAATATTACGCAACTGTTTATGAACATGTTACCGCATGATGCACATGTAAGTTACTTTTATATATTATTTTTAGCAGATTAGAAGCATTTGTATGTCTCACCTTTTGAACAGCAGTAACTATTACTTGGGTCGTTGTTATTCCTGTGGTCTATGCTGTCATGCCTCCGTACTATGTTATGTCACTGAAATACTCAACAGTTGTATCAATATTTTTTAACAGAAACACAGGTAAAAATAGCAGAGAAAACTGTATTCATAGAGAGGACTTTGTACATACTTTTGTTTGATGGTAAACATAGAGAAACTAAAAGCATGATTGATATTTTTATTGGGATGCTTTGTTTAAAGTAATTCATTTTTATGTGAGCTTTTGATTGAGAGTCACAAGAAACGACTGAATAATTACAATAGTCGAGATAAAGCCTACTAAGTCACTAAATATTGCAGATATTCTTCTTCCTGCTATTTGCTCATAGCTAATTACTAATACTTAGATAAAAATTAAATGTACCTATTGTTTGTTTCTGGAATAGTTGAGATAATTTTGTGAAAAATAAACATTGACACACACAGACTTTGACCATTAAGATTTCATTATAATCTACTTGTAGGTACAGAATTCAATTAAATTAAAACTATTATGTATATTATCAATAATTAAACAATTTAGTAGAATTGTATCATTACAGTATATTATAAGTATATACTGTACCTCATATTCAACAGTTTACTTTCCTATAATACTGAATGTTTTTAATATTAATATATAATTAATGATTTTATTAGTACTTTAATATGCGTTTTTATATCTATTAAAATACTTTTATGTAGGTACGAGATTAAACATACCTTTGCATTTACTTTCTGTATACTGCTTGATCGAAATATTTTTTGTATGCTCATATTTCTGGTTAATTAATTAATTCTTATTGGTTCCACCATAAGCGAAAAAGTGATATGAAAACAATAATTGCAAAATGTGTCTATATTGCAATATAAAATATATACTCAATATGAATAAACATACTAGATAATAAAAAATATTAGGTAATAAATATAAAATTAGTTAATGTAAGAATATTTCAAGTAAATAAACATTTGTCATGAAAGGTTACTTTAACTCCTTACTCATGTTACATATTATTATGTCTTAATATAATATATTATTATGTCTTACATCAATTTCATTATCATCCGTTCAGCAGTTAAGTCGTTAATAAGTAACAAACAGATAGACAGACAGATTTTTGCATTTATTTCGTATTTATATTAGTAGAGATTTTACAACTACACGCAAATTAAATACGTATATGATATATGTTTATCTGCTTTAATGTTCTGGTGACGACTGCTATAGTTATCAACAAAACGTCAGGAAAATGTGAAGTCAATTATGTGAATAATTATGTAGGTACGATTTGCGAGTGCTAACAAAAACATTTGCGTCAACATTGATTAATTAACCTGAAATATTAATTATTTATAGCTGTATTGTACATTGGAAATATTGTAAAATTTATACTGAAGTCTAGTTCAGTATAAATTACTCCTTTTATTTATTATATTCATTAAATACCAAATAAATAAAAGAAATTCTGAATTGATATTTGCTGTTTATTGAGTATATATGATATATGTATATGCGTTAAAGAAATATGTACCCGTATGTAATATGCAATGTTAGGGAACAAAACTGTTTAGCAATGAAATACATTTGCTCCAGTAAACATTTAAACATTAGAGGGTAGTCTTTAAGTAAACATTAGTATCTTATATAAGCTAAAAGGTACATATGTAAATATATATATAACGCTATACTATCTCTGATCAACGCGTCGGTTGACTGGTAGAGAATGCCATCAGGCATTAAGTCCGCCATGTATACAATTTTGTGTGCAAAAGAATAAATAAATAAATAAAATAAATAAATGTAACTTACTTAAATAATTGTATTTACAGGCAATTGGTAACCACGAATTCGATGATGGACCAGCCGGTTTGGCACCATACCTTGCTGCTCTCAATGCACCTGTAGTGGCTGCTAACATGGATACCTCCAACGAGCCTTCCCTGCAGGGATTGTACAAACCGCATATTGTGGTAGAAAGAAAAGGCAGAAAGATTGGGATCATTGGATTAATCACCACTGATACAGCGGTAAGTTGTCAATCTTTTAAATGGTGAGCATGCTGTACGACGACCGTTTTCTACTATCCTTTTCCTATCCCATATTCCTCTTATGCTATAAAAATAATAACAAATAGCTCTGAACAATTAACACAGCACCATCACATACCACAGTAAGCAGAGTTTGTGTTATGGATACTAGACAACTGATTTAAATACATAGATATATTTATTTTCTAAATGTATACAAAATATATTCAGAGAAAACCCAGACGAATACTAAATGAATACAAATGTTTGCCACCATGCGTAGGATAAAACCCGAGACTATCGAAAATAAAGCAAATCGAGACCACTGAGGTTGTCAAAAATAAAAATGAGACTGTCGTTAATTAAAAAATATCTAGTAAAAAATTGTGAACAGGACGTGGTAAACACGTTATTGTCAATTAAAATTGGTTCAGAATTAAAAAATACGTAACAATTACTCATGAGAGTCCTAGATAAATTGCTTCACACCAATTTCATGATTTACATACAAATTTACAATTGTACTACCTAAAATTAATAAATTAACAAACAAACAGTAGGTCTAAATTAGTTTTTTTTTTATTTTAAAGATTTATATTGAAATGTAGAGTTTTTATGTAACGTCAGGTAATTTATGACTACCCTTATCATACAGTGTCACACTTCGTCGAGTCTCTCCCCACTCCTTAATTTGTGATGTAATTTATGGATGATCACTTATTAGTCTTATAAATATGAAAGCGATATAAATGTGATACCTAATTGTTAGAAAAATTTCATCTATAACATTTTAATAGACTACTTAGATACCACTTGATAACTAGTACTCACTTATGAGTTCTTACACCATGGTCACGTTATTTCAATTGACCACCATCATGAAATTAATTAAATTAAATTACCTATGCGATTATGTCGGTCTCCATGAATGTTTAGAGTGCTTTAATACTATTAACACAATATCTAGTATACGTCACTCTGGAATATTTAAACCTTAAAAACAAATTTAAATCGTTGCATTAGTTTTAGAATTCACTTACCACTTAATAAAAGTTCTTTATAGTAATAATATATGTAGATTTGGCCCAGTGACTATGATTTTTTCTCGATAGGAAACTGAAAGAATCTTTTAAGGATGATTTCTAATGAATTCCTCAATTTGCGGAATTGAACACTCGACTATCAGACACTAAGATAGTGTTAAAACGGTAGACTATCGAGATCACCGATTTTGTATAATTATCATTATATACTCATTAACATCATCACATATATTTAAGTAATCATATGTTTATTGAATCGAAACGGTAAGTATTGTTATCAAGATGGCGTAACGTAAGTACGACTAGGTATATTTATTATCTATTGTTGTGACGAATACGTGAGCATTTGTTTTATCTGGCAAATCTGTATAAATTGTGTAGGTATATTATATAACATGTATACGTTATGATAAAAGCAAATTTGGATATTGTCTCTTAGTTCTATAAATTATTTACCACAACAGAATTTAATATACATTTTTTGCCAAGATTAAGGCACAACTACATCAAGCAAATTAAAGACAAAATAGGTGTCGTATCGTATTAACATTTAAAGAGCATGATGGAAGATCATAGAAAGTGGCAAGAGCTCCACCGACAAAAGCGTCGGTCTTAAATTCGGAATGAATGAATGATATTTTTTGCAAAATATTATTAGTTATTATTACTTAGTCATTTTGTATTTGCACTTATAGACAATAACTCTATTAATATTCATTAAGAGTTTGGTATTAACATAATTTACTTAGGTGTACGCTATACAAAAGATAGTAGATACAATGCAAGATACAGTGATGTATATTACAAGGTTGTTTTCATGCAAATTGGATAATTCATGTAAAAATATCTAACAATACCAGATTTTTAATTTCTACGAGATAGACAAATGCCATTGCTTGTAATACGATGACTCTTGCTTCATTCATATTATATACATATGTTTCATTTTCATACATATGTTCTACCAATTATATTGATTTAGATCATATAAATAGTTATTACTCCTAATAAAAAAAAGAGAGAGTATTTTAAGCATAACTTGCTTACCTGTGGCATCATAGTAACCAAGACGGATGAACGGATAATGATGCTTTTTTTGTTATAAAGATTATATAATTCCGATTATTCTTAGTTATTTATGAAGATCTCTTTAGGCGTATGAAGACTATGAACTTCTTTTACTTTTTCTTGTTGACGAAGAGTATCATATAATTGTTATGTTTATTTATTTATTATTTTATTTACATGTTTAGATAAATGAAGCATGTTGTCTTTACAGAAATTGTCATCGCCGGGCAACGTAGTGTTTACTGATCCGCGAGAAGCATTAAAACGTGAGGCCAAAGCATTGACTGACAAAGGCGTGGACATTATTGTTTTATTGTCACACTGCGGCCTCGCCGAGGACAAGTTAGTATCTGTATTATTTTTCTTAAATAGATCAGATCTAGTTGTACTTTATTAATTTACTTCAAAGCTAGACTAAGAAAGTCTAGCTAATAATTCTACCGAGATTTTAAACTACACACGCTGTGTATGCAATATCTGCAATATTTTATCCTACATACAATTTGATATCATAATTCTTTAATGCTATAGGTTTCCATCTGGAACTAATACCTTAAATTGTAATCCACTGACTTGAAAAATGTAGAGGCTACTTTAGTGTGAATGATATCCAACACCAGAACTTGCATGTCGCCGATCATTGTGAGATGCCTAATTATCGCCAATAGTAATTTTAATGAAATATCTCAGCCTTCAAGTATAAACACAAGCAGTATGCGTTTATAAATGTGTTCTAATTCAGCCTTTATTACCAGCATGCATAAACAATTTAGGTACTATATTTCATATAATATTTAGTATGGATTATTTAGGATGGATTTAGATAACGAAATAATTTGTACTGTCTAATAGAACACAATAAAATTTAATAATAATAATTTTTAATTTCATTAAATAGTACTTAAAAAATTTAATAGGTATTAACAGTGAGATAATAAAATGCTTATATTGAACGGATAAATGTTTATTGAAGATATAATCTTCCTTCGCTCAATTTATTTGACTTGAAGTAATTTTATCAGGTACCGGACAAACCAATTACTTACTCACCGAGTGGGCCATTAAATAATTGAAAAGGAACACTTGTCTTATGATCAATTCATTAAAGTCATTTCCTCGTAGATTATATATTTAGAAGTGAATGATTGTAGTGTCTGTATGGATTTGTTTTCAGTACAGTCACATTCATATAAATCGTAACGATGGTCAATATTTTTTTAGGGGTACAAATTTAATTTCTGATGTTTCACTTTAACTATTAGCTAATATACATGAATAGCCATGAATAACCATGAACATGCAATCAACATGTGACCTAATGGTACTACTCATACGTTGCCATTCTGGAGCACGAAGGAATTCGAGGCCTGTACTTTCATTAACATTGAAATTATATCATATGGGGATGTTTATACTTCAAACTGAAAGATAGATTACAAAGCAAGTTTGGCAGTTGCAATAGTAGAAACCATGGACGATCCACGCACATGGTTTTTAAGTAAGTCCACCTCGCTGAAAAACTCTATTCTCGATATGATCTATACTCAAACTTGATACCCACTTCAAATTTTATATTCATATTCAGCTGCTTTGTTTTGAATTAGATTAAACTGATAATACATAATCATGCTTCCTGTATGTGAATGTTATGGTTTTATGCATGATACTGCTGATGTACATATGTGACTAGCTCTTTTAATATAAATAATACTTTTAAAAACCTCTAGGGAGCAATTGCCTACTAGTTTATTATCCCAAAGTTAGTAATTTAGATTCAGCTCGATATACAAAATATTATGTTATAATTTATATTTATAACTGACAGTCATGAACGTGGAAGGATGGAAAGGGAGAGGACGACCGAAAAAAGATTTAGGATTTTGTGAAAGATGATATGTATAAAAGGAGAGTATGCTTAGATATGACGGCCGGTAATGGGCAAGGCAATGATGAAGAACTGATAGTCCGTTTCTAGAAACATCGATATAACTATGCAAATTAATCTAAAAGATAGCGGTAGTTCCATTCCCTGCCACGTTGGAAATGCTTCCTTGCATGTTGGAATTGGAAATTAAATATGCTCGACGAAATCTAGCCATATCAAGACTTGAGCTTCTTATAATATAGACAGTTATTCGCCCTGACAGTTGATTGCCTCGAACTACTGCTTTTGCTATCACTGTCGTGAAGGTATTTTTATTATATTTATTTCTTTATATTACAAATACTTATTTTATATTACAGAGTGTTAGCTCGTGATTATGGGCAGTATATAGATATTATAGTAGGAGGGCACTCACATTCGCTGTTATGGAATGGAACTGCACCCAGCGGAGAATTCGTAGCTGGACCTTACCCTATCTTCATAGAGAACACTGCTGATGGAAAGCAAGTAAGTACCTAATAGTTTTCTAATATATGAAACGTCTACCTGTGTAAAATATCTTTTTTTATCTTATCTATTTTTACGGTCGTACAGTGTTAGATGTCGTCAATATTATTCCTATTTTATTACATTTACGCTTACCGTTGATCTTTTTCGTGAGTTGACATAAATAATGTTCCCGATGTAGTTATATATCTGTATTTTGGTATCTCCTCATTCAAAATGTATTTCTCATTTATAATGAGAAGATAAGGAAAAACTTAAAATTTCGACGTTACATTTTAAGTAATTATTATGGCAAACAAGCTGCCGGCGAACATGATGGTAAGTGGTAACCGTAGGCTATATACATGAACAGCTTCGAGAACATCACATCACGTGACGCCTGTGGCACCACTAATGCGTTGTCATTCCGTAGGGCTCTGATGGTTCGCCTGTATATTGTTATTCCATATTCTGTGATTTCACTGCCATATCTCACCTTTCAACTGAAGCACAGCTCACAAAGCAAGCTGGTGCCTAAAATACTTAGACAAAGGTGCCTACGCTCAGTTATGATGATAAAGTCTATCGCAATAAGTTTAGATTATGTGCAATGTACAAAAAAATATACTTTGCCACAAGAATTCTTCAAGACAGTGTATAAAAATGTTGCCTCTCCACCTATTAACAAGGTCAATTTGGCTGTAAAAGTAAAATCAAATCTAAACTAGAATTAAAATCGGTGCCTAATGGACAACTATGCTGAATATATTTTCTCAGTGTATATCTAATTTGCACAAGGTCGACCATTTATAGGTCCAGCTTATTTTCTTATCTAATTCTTGTAGTAATCGTTCTATATTAAGAAACACTTATCATAGTACATTATTAAGTTTATAATATATAAACAATGTATAATGAATCGATTTCGTGGAATTTCTCTTTTGTCAGGTCCTGTAAACATTATTTTTATGTATGTATTATATGATGACATTTTGGAAACTGTTACGTTAAGCTTTTCAAACTATTGAAAGGTTGATAACCAATGGCACAAGTCATAATCTAACAATGTTAAAAATAAGGGGGTACTTACTATGAACTCATACGTATATGTATGTATAAATGTAAAGTATGTACTTGCATCTATGAATTACTTCTTTTATTTTTATTATGTAGTGTGGTTAACGCTACGCTAAATCGTCATCAAGTGATGAATAATTATATCATTATTAAATCAATCAATAAAATAATAGGTGTTAAAGGAGAGTAGATACTAAATGTTAATAATATCAAGACAATTCACACAGCGCCAACTGGACACAAGTTAAGCTTGCTAGAGCTTGTGTTATGGGTACAAAAAATATATTTGTGTATTTGTATTAGTTTTCTACTGATACATATACATAGATATATTTATTTCGTAAATATATACATATTATACATAGAATACACTCAGATACGATACAAACAATCATACTCATGAATGTTTGTACCATGCGAGGAATCCAACGCGCGACCATCGGACGTAAGGCGGTGTTCTAAACCGCTAAACCACCGAGGCCATCAAAGTAGCACTTCGCCCCTCAAGGGGATGTTTTTCTCAGTACTTCTTACTTACTTTAATGAAGTTGAGTGCCACGACACTAAACATTTACAGCTACTATTTGCTATAATTGATTTTAAACAATACTTTCCAAAACCAATAACACAGTTCTGATATTAAATATGACGTTCTAAAATTACAGGTGATGATCGTACAAGCATCTGCGTTTACTAAGTACATGGGAAATTTGACGCTTTCTTTCGATTACCGCGGGGATCTCGTGAAATGGGAAGGCGGGCCTATTTTCCTCAACAGATCCATAGCTGAAGGTAAGAAGTTAAAAACTTTCCTGGATTTAAATAAAGTTTTATCCGAGTTTTTGCTGATTGTGTATAAGAACGAAAGTGAATAGACGAATATTTTATAAGCTACATACACCTACTGTGCTATATTATATACTTTTTTAATATTATAAATCTGAATGTTCGGAGATATTTAGCATCTTTGAATGCCAAATTATCTAAAATTTATGTACGTGATTAAATAAAAATTGGTTTTTTACGTTACAAATTCTAGGGTATATCAGAAATAATCATTGCCTTGCCTTCGCCCCATTATTTGGGGTCGGCGCAGTATGTCATCTTCCTCCACCGATCCATAGCGGCTGTCAAATCTGAGCTAGCTTAGTAGGAAGGAAAGTGGCCTATTTCTAAAATAATAAAAACATCTTTATTAGCATAAGACTAAAACTGGACGTGTTTTAAACTTTTGCTAATACAATGCCTTGACTAATAGTTATTATAGTTCTAACAGTTTCTAAGTTTTTTAGTCATTAATGTATTAATACACTTTGTGTACAAGTTCTATTAATCAGCTGCCATTGAGATATGACTAATCATATAAAAATCTCAATTCATTTATTGGCTTTATTTCGTTGACGGTCGACATAACACACCGTTATTTTTTCTTAATTTAATATATTTTTAATATATAACTGTATACATATATTATTATTTTAATATATATTTTTCATTTGAGTTTTTACATTATATGTAACGGTAAATAATGGTATAATATAATGGTATATTTCGTAGCATCTAATTGTAGTCTTTATGAATGTCCATAATAGGTAACGTATAATTGATACTGAAGATAACATTTTACAAATCACTAATTATTCTTGTTATGCATCTAAAATTATATATATAGTTTAAAGGATATATAATTACATATTGACTATTCATTATCTATTTTAAATGAATCTTACGTTAATTTCTTAGTAACCGCGCCTAAAGGATCTAAGCGAACAGACAGCGTAAGCGACTTCATTTTATACTATGTAAAGATATGGTTTGCATCCGACATTTAATTTCACAGAATATAAATAGGTTTGAATCTATCTTTTTAATTCGGGGTCAGTCGGAGTAATCGTAGAGGCCGTAGGTTACATTGTACCCATAAATAAGATCCTTTTTCTGTAAGGAGAAAACGTACTAAATTATATTTGAACGTTATCTTAAAGGCTTGTGATATTCATAACTGGATAAGTTTATGTACTAGTGTTATGAATATGATATTTAGAAACATTGAGGTTATTATTAAAAGAGTATGCAAATTTGGTAGATACATACGAGTCTTTGTGCTTGCTTTGATAGTTTAAATTATGACAAAGAAAACATCTGTTTTATATATTACATTTCCAAACAAGAATATTCTTTATAACATTAATTATATTTGATAAGTTATGTAAGTATATTATATACCTATATAAAATTCTCGTGTCACAATGTACCATACTCCGAAATGGTTTGACCGATTTTTATGCAATTTCATACGCATATCCAGTAAGTTTGAGAATCGGCTACTATCTATTTTTCATTCCCCTAAGTGATAGGGTTGTTCACCCCTAATATGAATTTAGGTTTTTGGACAATTTCTTTTTATTTTTCACAATGTGGCTTTAAAAGAGACCTCAGAGCTGTAATTAATTCTAATAAAATGTTTGCTAATTTGATCTTTGCAATCAAATCGGTTAAATTTAGGTTTTTATATAAAACTAGCTGATCCCGCAAACATTGTTTTGCCATATAAATTAAAATTGTTATTAAAAGTAGGAAAAAAAACTCCTTTTATTAGAATTAATTACAGCTCTGAGGTAAAAAAAATTACGAGAAATTCTGAATTGAGAATTCGTTTGTAGACGGTTAACAAAATTACATTAGGTAGTCTATAAAGTTAGGAAGGAGACTTCTCCCGAGTGAAGTAAATGCATCTTTAAGTATAGCTTATAATAACTCTTTTTCAGATGAAGAAATCAAAGCTAAATTAGAACCATACGCTAAATTGGTACGCGACGCTGAAGACACTCCTATTGGTGAAACACGAACTACTCTGAGTGATCAGGATTGCGTTTACGGAGAATGTGCTTTGGGTGACTTGTTAATGGACGCATTCAATGATTATGTTAGTTGTTTTCTTCTCATTACCTTCTATCAATATATTAATTGAGTCATTATATTTAGTACAGAAACTACATTCAGAAATGCAAAACTTTCTGAACAGAGTTTAGGGTGATTTAATTGCATTGTTTCTTTTTTCAGGCGAAAAAGAATGTGGAATCGAATTATAGCTACCTGTCATTTATGCAACGTGGTAACATCAAAGCGCCAATACCAGAAGGGAGTAAGTAACTAATTACTGAGTTATATTTTATTAGTGACTCACCTTAATTTCGCTAGGGTTGAATTATATACATTACTAAAAGAAGCCGGCAGATATCGTCCTGCCTAAAAAAGCAGCGCTGGCACATTTTAAATAATTGTATTACAATTGACTGTAGTATATTATATTTAAAACATCCAATAACCCATTGAAATATACAAACAAAGTTTCATCTAATTTGATTCTGTTGTTTATTAGCAGTTAGTTAACAAACACATGTACAGACAATTACATATATTTAGATATGTATTACATGGGTGCTGCGTCCATCTGGAACAATGTACTTTTCAAATAGATATAGATTTTTTAAATTATGTATTATTAAGGACATTATTTTTTAATTAGTTAAGTATCTTATACGTCTATTCATTATACACAAAAAAATAAAATTAAATCATAAATATGTACAATAATCACAGTATATTGTCTTCTTATGTTGTTTGGTCTTATTGATAACAAATAATCTATCACAAAGTACATTAATTTTTTTTTATCCTTTTTCTCTCGATTTACATCCAATAACGTTCATATTAAGATTAAATTCGGACGGTGAAATATTTTGAAGAACCTGAATTTCAGTACTGTAGTGCTATATCTCAGTGTCCAGTCCCTTGACTGCCTGTCAGGTGACACATCACTTTTCGATGGAATATTCGTATTTGTCCAGCCTCCCGCTCTACATGTTCCAGAAAAATGCAGAAACGGCAACTGCAGCTCACTTTGATTATACCTACAAAAAAAAAAAGCGGAAATAGTGATTTCGTATTCCCCTGTATTCTCGAAAAATTCTTGTCTCTTCTAAAATGAACGAAATTTTATGATTTCAATGCGGCTACGCCTCTATGTTTTTATATTTTGAATTACATTTGTAATTTTTATTTAGGATATCTCTGATTTCGACGATTTGAAATGAGCAAATTTCTTGATATTTGTAGGCGTATAGTTTTTAAAATAATAAATATATCAAAGAAATGGAAAACAAAAAGACACGCAAAAAATAAAGGTATATTTCACGGAACGATCACGACGGAACATAATACTAATTCACGAAAAAATAAATTAATTGAGTTATATTAACTAAATAATTGAGTTTTATATGAAATAAATACAGCCAGCGTTTTCTCTTCAGTACTTTCCCAAAAACATGGTTTTTGGTCACCGCATGACTTAGCTTCACAATGGAAAATAGGGTTATACTAATTTTCAAATCAATAAAATAAATATCTAGTATATTTGTTTCAGCTATAACACAGGGTGTACTATTTGAGTTATTACCTTTCAAGGATAAAGTGCAATCATTTGAACTCCAAGGCAAATATGTACTCGAGGCATTGGAGAGGAGCGTCAGCGAGGCATGGGCATATGACCCATTCAAGGGCCCATGGGTGTTACAAGTGGCTGGTAAGAGACAGATTATTAACCTGTGTTTATTATTTTCTACTACAAAAATTGAGGTTTTCAATTCGAGTGTATAATTTTATGTATGACTTGAGATTTTTTTTCTTTATGATGAAATTTTTATGATTCTTATTTAATTTGAAAGTTGGCGCTTTTTATGTGGTTCCATGTACCTAAATTTGATAAGTAATTTTACCACTATAAAAGCCGTTTACGTGGGTTCCTCAGTTTCAATTTTGAGCATTTGAGCCACCATGCTTGTGTTTGTAAACTATGTTTATAAGTCCTCTAGATTTGCAACGCATGAGACGGATATCACGGACGTTAAATGATAACGTGATATCCATAGTGCTGTTCATTTATATAGGTAACGGTCCCGTTTACCAGCAGTGCTTGTTTGCCTTTGCAATTACATAAAAAAAATAAGTTTTTGAATTATCCTTAATAAGGCTTTTAATAAATTCAGTTTTTGCGTGGCCTGAACACGGTATTATTGAGACTTAAGTTATGAATATTTATAGGGCATGTTTAGTAAACTTAATTGTTTAAGAATTAATTTAAAGTGGTATAAATTTACGGTTATTTGATCTTGAGCAACTATATTTCTATTAAATTTTGTATTTAATGAAATTTCTTAATTTTTATATCATTGGAAAGATACTTTTTAATATATATACTGTTCTTATACGTATGGATATTTCTTAAATCACGAGACAGATTTTAAACTGCTACTGTAGATATCTAATAATTATAAAATTCACATAATTAATATTGTTCAGTGACATTTGATGCATGAAATAATTAAAAACATGTAAATTTTTCTCAGCTCAAAACTACATTACAAACTGTCAGTAGATTTGACTTCTCATAACTGTATATTATAGGAATAAAGTTATTTTGATTTAATTTCAATGACCTTTGTTTCAGGACTATACGTAACATACAACATATCAAGGCCAGAGGGACAACGAGTGGTATCAGTACACATTGGTGATAAGAATGGCGTTGATTTAGACCCTGAGCAGACATACCAAGTGACTGCATCTGCGTATATAGCTGACGGCGGTGATGGTTTCGCGGTATGTTACTATAACAATTATATATCTGTATTATTTACCTCAAAAATTAATATTCTTCTTCATACTCGATACGCTTTTGACATTCTATTGTGGAGTGAGAGGCAGATGTTATCTGCCTTACGGCAGATTGTTATTTAATTGTTATAAATGTTTTTTTTTTATATCTCAAATATAGTAAGTCCGTCATTACCATTTTATTAAGAAGCCTAACTGCATTTTCATTTGACCTGAAGATAGATTGTGTTATATAGGAGATATATAGTGGTTGGACGTAAGCGATATTTTATTTCCAAATAAGCAGACGAAGTCGTTGGTTCCAGCTAATAGTGTTCTTAATTTCATTATTACATTAGGTATTTATTCAATTGTCTAATAATTATAATTTATAGATGTTCAAGAACGGAAAGAAGAATGTGCAAATAATAAGCCGAGATCAGGTGATTGTAGAGAATTACATCAAAGAAAACTCTCCTCTCAACGTTACTACTGACGGAAGAATTGTAGTATTACAATAGATAATAATAGAGTTCTGTTGTAAGTGCAAAATCCTATACTGTAGCGTAGTTATATCATAAGACTCATTATTCTGGCTTACTCTACGCTACTTATTATGTAATATGTATATTGTTATTATTTTCATTTCAATCAATGACAATTTTAATTTAGTATCGCTTAATCTCATTGTGCATTTCGATTATACCTTTTATTATGAACGATGTATGTGTGCATGATATACTTGCTTAGTATATAGGGGCATTCTTCTTCATTTTCATCTGTTTATTTATTGTATTAAGATAATATGAATGCCATTGATATTGCATTAAAGAGTTTTACATTGTACCTATTAATATAACGAATTTATGTTATTTTTACTATAATAGTTAAAGTTTACAATCAGTATCATAGAATTTGTGTAAAGTCGTCTGCTCGAACGTGGTGACCCTGGCTAATTCATCCTTCTAGTGACTTGATTTGTAAGCTATGTGTCGGTTGAAGGTTGTCACATGATATCATGATACCAGTGGTTGTCATATACCATCAGGTAGACAGACAGATTGATTGCCGTGCTAGTTACATAAAAACGTCTAAAGTGTATTTTAGATATTTAATTTTGTATTAAATGTACGTGGAAGCTATTATTTCCTGTATCATGAGGCTATGTTTTGTTATATGTCTACAGAATTTACATGAATTTTAATAAGTCAAATATATTTGTAAATTTCAATTATTTATTCTAATGTAACAGTCCAAATTGCATGTATTTATTAAATTATATTAGCTATAAGTCCTATTGATAGCTGTTGAAGTAATAGTAATTTTATTTCCTAATACATTATAGTCTACAATCCTATAATCTTATATATAACTTGGACAATTTTAGAAATTCTTTTTGTATGTTAAAAATATAATTATATGTATTTAAAATATTGTAGATGAAAATTCATTAAAAAATATTTATTACTATCAACTAGTTTTTCTTTACAGGCTATTTATATAGTTATTATGATGATATTATGATACTATGAAGCTGATTCTCCAGGTCTTTGCATTCCTAATTTCCTCTTCCAACTCATGTGTGCCTATAATATATTACTTATAATTATCGCTTTACTTCCGATGGTCGCAGGTTCGATGTCTCACACGGTGCAAACATTTGTATTCATGAGTATGATTGTTTGTATCGGGCCGAGTGCTTTCTATGTATATTATGTATGTATTTAGACAAAAAAGTATCTAAGTAGGTATTAGATACTGCTTACTGTGGGACTAGACGATGCTGTGTTAATTGTCTAAGAGTTATTTATTTATTACTAGCTGTTCCCGCGACTTCGTCCGCGTGGAATCTTATTTTATTTTTCAAAATAAAAGTAGCCTAAGTTACTCCTATTACACACAGCTACCTACCAAAAAAAGTCCCGTCAAAATCGGTCTAGCCATTTCAGAGATTAGCCAGAACAAACAGACTGTCTGACAGACAGACAAAAATTGTAAAAAATGTTATTTTGGTGTATGTAACGTATTTATATTCAAATGCATGTAGTAAAAAACAGTTATTTCAATATTACATACAGACACTACAATTTTATTTATATAGATGTATTGATTAATTTGCATAGATTATTACTATAGTTCGAATATATTTTGTGCTTACATCTTGCAGACAGTTATTACAACGCTAATATACCGACAGATACTTTATTTACCGAACATTGTAATTTTGATTTTAATTATGATAACTCAATACTGTTATACTTTGAGGTCTGACAAAATAGAACACTATCAATACCACTTTCTTTATATTCTTTATAGACAGTGCCGCCAACACAGTTTGACCAAGATCTTCGTGAGATCACTTAAAACGACATTATAACACTAACTGTGCCCGTGGATTCACCCGTATGATATTTGTAGCCTATATGTTATTCTGATGTAGAAGCTATATTACTGTAAAGTTTCATCAAACTCAGTCATCAACAGTATGTAGTAATCCGTTATGTAGTTTTTGCTTGAAATCATCGTGCATCCATTTATCCATCCATACTCAAAAACTTTCGCGTTTGTAATAATAGTAACATTATCTTAATTAACAAAATATAATATTATGACAAAATCATTCAGCCATTATTTATCATTTATCAAGTTTATAACCAATTAAAAAAAATTGCCAATAGTTGTGTGTTCAGAAAACGTTAAAAGTTGTTGAATGAAATATTTTTATTTAGAAATTTCTATAAACAAATTTTACCTATGTAATGGAAAATCCATTAAGGTGGCAATAAAATAATATTGCATAGATTTTATATTTCAAATATTGAAATATTGTCTACTAATGACATTCGTATATACTGTCTGTTTCAAACACCAGACAAGAGTCTTTACAGGCGCGTCAGAAAATTTATTGACAATTTGAAATAAAATGTTGTTTTTAATGCATTATTCCTAGTACTAATGAGATGTAAAGACTGCAAAGAAATTATACGAGAAGGTATTACCTTGAATGAAATGGCATGAAGAAGGCAATAAGAAAATGAATGACAGTATTTTATTTCAAAGTATTAAAAAAATCCATAACATCTAAAAACAATTAAATTTTATTTTAAATATATAAATTGATTTACTGTCATTAACAAAATAAAAAAATAAGTTTAACTGTTGCGGTTTTGATTTGCATCAATATCCAGTTATTTGGTAAACGCATTTCATTTTTAAGTAATATTTTTTTATGATTTTCACAGGTGCAATGACATTATGAGAAAATAAGTCTTTTTTACATTATGTAGAACATTCTTATTATATATATGTACACCTTTTATAATATTTCTTAATTAAAAAAGTAAAATTGTGGAAGAGACTTTCAAATAGGTTTAATTTTTAATTATCTAGTTTTAAATCCTGTGATATATTTAAAACAAATTAGATAAATGAAAGAAGTGGCACATTCATTTATTTGTTCATTGAGTCTTAAGCCCTTTTATAATTGACTACATAGTCGGTCTCTGATCCTTTAGCTAACGTCCTCCTTGTAGAAAAGGAGGGTATATAAGCTATTACACACAGATCATTCAATTACTTTGCTGCGGTCCGGTTAATTATAAGTGTCTATTAAATGCAGTCAGAGATATATAAAATTCTAACCCACACAATCTTCACTCTCCATTGTCTAGTAGGTAACGATACTACTCGTATTTGATTCTTTGTATACAGATATTTTAAGTTAAAAACGTAAAGTTGTAAAAGAGGTCAACTAGTTTCTTGCTCATGCTTCTTGTGATGAGACAGATTTTAGAGTGAGTGGTAGATTAAAAAATAAGTATTCAAAAGTGCTTAAATTTATGTTTATTGAAATAAATAATTTTCTAGTCTATTCTATATTTATGGCCACGGTGTACTTCCACTGGTCGCCGGCGCCGATACGAATCAATAATATGTTTTTAGAGAATATGGTTATTTAAAAACAAATTTTTTTTAGTGCCAGTATAAATGTGCCAGTATAATCACTGGCACTAAAAAAAAATTCATTATTTAGGTAGGTCATTATTTAGGTATTAAATAAAGCAAGCACTGCAGCTTTCCTATATATAATAAATTACTCTGTGACTGCAGCCGCAATACCTCTTGTTTAGGCCATTTTTACATAAAAAGGAATAGTAATCATTTTTCAAGTAAAATTAATATTGTTAGGAACACAAAATTTATATATATAATATTTTCCATTGTAGCAGTGACTATAAATAATTTGGTAGAACCCTATATATCTCTATAATTCTTATACTACAGTACAACCACAAAAAGTATTGAAAATATAGGAGTTAGGCGAGCAATTTCTTAACGCAGAAGCCCAAAATACGTGATTATTCATGCAAAAACAAAAGAGTCATCAGGTAAATGGGGCGAAGTGGTAAAACCTGATGAGAAAGAAGATTCAGGGCGCAATATCTGACACCTTCACCATTTCTGTGATGTAGGTATGCAAATGTCCCTGAGGAATGCAAGACCGTTGTTTTATCTGTGATGTTTAGCATCCTTTCAGAAAAGATGAATGTAAAGTAATGTGTTCTCTCCAATTACTTTATAGTAGTAGGCTTAGCAAACAGGTGAATAATTTTACAAAAGGTAAATATAAAAAAATCTGTAAAAAAGTATTTCTGTGAGTATTACACTGCTAATATCTAAACAGTGTTATATATTCTGTTAGTTTGTGTAGGTAGTATAGTAGTATATAATTGCTTAAGGGTACAGTCCTGATAAAAGCCATGTTAAATGAAATAAATAAATTAGGTTACCATCGCAAAATAAAAACCTTGTTACTCAGTCAACAGTACTTTTTTTAAACGGCTTTGATTTTTTTTAAACTGAATGACATTAACGGATTTTTCGTACGTACCTAATGTATGTGTGAGAAATTATTTACGAAAAATCTCTTAAAGTCAGGTACTCACGGATAGAATGAAAAAAGTAATTTTACTCAGAATTGTCTTTCAAAACGTACTTAAAATAGGAACGGCACACCATAAACCACTTTTCTTTCCAGCCTCAACAAAGAGCTAGGTAATGGAGTTACCTGTAATAAAGCTTTTAGCGGTGTATCATATGAGTATAAGAGAAATTGAGCGAGTGGAATTAAAAAGCACTGTTTAGTATATAGGAAAATAAGTACATGCTTACTTATATATATTTAGTGTTATTTTAACTTTAAATGTAATATATAGATTTTAGTAATAATAAATACAATTAAAAAAGTAATTTTAGAGCCTTTTATAAAGATCGTATTACATCATGTAGATTGACTACATTCGTTCGTCTGAAAGTACAATATTTTTTTAATAATATGTAGTAAGTAGATACCCACCTACCTACCACATATTATTAAAAAAATATCGTATTGTACACAGAGACTGAGGGACGTTAGTATTTAATCAATATTAAATTCTGTTACTATTTCCTAAGACAGAATAAAAAATTGTGTAAATATTACTCGATGTCATAACTTCGTTTTCACTGTACGTCTAATATTATATCTATGTAGTGTAAGTATTTTTATCCAGGTAAAGTATGTACCTATATGTATTTTGGATATTAAAAGTATACACATTATAAATCAGGTTTAGCTGAAAGTTGACAGGTCTGAAAGAATCAATACATATAAAAGAATATAAAACGTTTTTATTCGGTTGGGTCAAGCCTGATGTATATCTGAAGGTAAGTTTTTGCCTCTGGCCATGAACAATACCAGAGAATTTGGAGGTAAGTCGTCGGTAAGGAGAAGTTGTTCTTGAAAGTTTCAATATCGTTTTGTTTCGGAAATACCACTACTGGAAGGTGTAAAATGTGGTCGTGCGTAACAAAAAGTTCCAGAAAAACCGCATGGTGGGACTACCGCTTTACTTTAATATCTAACGCGTTGTGCGATGCTGGAACTCAGCAGCTAATGTCAATCCTAACTTGTATGAAATGTCACTATTATTATTATTCAAGAGCATAGAAATCTACTATAGCATAAACAAATATAGCTAGTAGGTATAAAACATTTTCTATTAGTAATGTTCTTTGTTACTATAATAAAGAAAATGTTTTTAATGTTTACGCTATTTAGGTCGTTCTTTGAATAACAATATAAGCCTTTCATTTGCATCCAAGGTTGAAACTCAATTAAAGAAACGTGCCTAATGTTAACGTTGGTGTCAAAAATAATTCTGCTTACTAATACATTTCCTAATAATAGTTGCAGTCTTTCATACACGTTTGCCTTTTATCTTAACTCTTAAAAAAGGGAGGATACAATACACTTCAGAAGAAGTGTATTGTATAAAAAATTCGAAATATGCAGGTAATGCTGTACAAGTTTCCCTAAACCTTGTATTATTGTAATATACTTTAATAATATATATATATATATATATATATATGTTTTTTTTTTCATTGCTTTTATATTTCATATGTCATTCGATACTTTAAGTTTCTAGCTTATTATACAGCAAGGGTTTGAATTCCAAACACTTATCAATATTAAAGATTATCGTTGGATGCTGTAGAATGAGAAAAAACACTATAGAATGCCATACTGTGAAGTGTCAATGTGTGAGTGCAATGCAGTTGCATTGAAATAATGAGCACTCGCCTTCTATAAAAATGCATTTTTACCTTGAAGACTACAGCTATATAATATTATATTATCTGTGGCTATATTAATTACTAGCTGACTATTGGTCGTAGCGTGATTTTGTAATTTGAGGGATACGAGTTGCCTTCCTCGCTAAATAGGCTATGTATCATTAAAACATTTTTTTCAATTTACAGAGACAAGCTGTTCAGTTTTATGATATTAGTACAGTTCAATAAACCTGGTTTAATATTTATAATTAACATTATTTTATTGATTTGATTATTATCTACCACTAATTTAGTCATTACGGTAGTACAGTAATTTAACTATATAGTAATGCGTAAACGCAACAATTGCAAAATATAATATGCAATTGAAATACGGGCAAAAGAATTATATTCAACCTTATTGCGTAAGACACAAGAAATAAATGTTACAGCTCATTGTTTTGTGCGTACTACGTTTTGTTTTGTAGATATTACTCTTTAGACCTTACAGATATTGGATGTCGAACTCGAATATAATTTAGTGTTACTTTAAATTTCAACATGGACTGACCACCACGCTTTTTAATCTAATAATTTACATTAATGGTTCGGTTTTACAGACATTGTAAATATTGTAAAATATACATATATTAATCTGGCAATATGAATGTGTATGTGTGTATTTTATTGTGTATTTATGTGCAATTTTATACCGTAAGTGGTGCAGTATTACCAGATTTATATCGATTGGATATAATACATTACAATGATTTCCATGATAGGTAAGATAACTTTAATTAATTTATTAAAGTCGAAGGTGAAGTATACTTGTTATATTTGTTATGTTAATTTGTACATAGCATAGCATCATTATTTTATTATTAAATTATAAAATTAAAAAAAAATATAGTAAATATTTCTTGTTTATTCACATTTAAACGACATATTTTACAGTCTTTGTTTTTTTATGAATGACTATGAAGTGGTGCACTAGTGAAAAATAAATGATGAAGATGAAGTCTGGTCAGTTAGTACGTCACGGTGAATTCATTAGTAATTAACCATTAGGATTTAGAGGGAAGACCGCGTTTAGGTCGACATGATAGGGTAAATTGTTCCTACATAATCTATGCGTACTAATATAATTAATTAGAAAGTGTGTCTGTTTCTTTGCTATCTTTTAGTGAACAAACGGCTTTACGGATCCTAATGAAATTTGACGTGAGGACAAATTGTATCATGGAGATACTTATACATGAGACATCTTTAAAAACAGTCAGTCAAAAGTCCGTGGTATAGAAATTATTATAATTTGAAATATTCCAAAATAAAAATATCTTTGTGTTAAAATCGAACTTTAACAAAAAAAAAATATAATATATTTAGATTATCCAACAACACTAAGAATTAACTAAGTATATAAAGTTGAAATTAACTAATATTCTATATATACTTAAAACTAGCTACTCACCCCGGCTTCGCACGCGTGTACATGTATTATACATAATATAAACCTTCCTTTTGAATTACTCTATCTATTAAAAAAACCGCTTAAAATTCGTTGGGTTGTTTTAAAGATTTAAGCATACATAGGCAGCGACAGTGACTTTATTTTATACTATACTTAAAAGGATACACTTTCTTGATTTATTTTTTATTGTAACAATGGACGTTGGAGAGAAAGGCCTTGAAAGTAATGGGGACTATTGGTCTATCCATTGCTAATAAAGTTCAATATTGGGTTGACTCTCTTGCATACTGAAAATCATCGTGATTAATTTCTGGTGAATTCATCATTACGGGCTAATTCACATACATCCTCATCTTATCATTTTGCACTGGTCGCAGGTATACCGTTAGCGCAGCCGGGTGCGTTATTCCATCATCATCCATTACAAATAGGCCACGATATATAGGTAGACCACAACTGAAATGGATTACAATAATTTCCTGTTTTATTAATTTCATTAGTTTAGTTTATAAATTAAAACGAAATATATAAAATGTGGACCTAAAATATTCAACTCAAAGAAAATTACAGAAATTTGTTTTTAGTGTAGGTACACATTCCATAAACGTTTTGAAACTAAAATGATACTCGTTAAAAGAATAGTACAATACTATTGTTTATTAATAATATTCGTATGTTTATTTCTTATAATGAATTGGTGGAGAAATTTGGTTTGATTGAAATAACCTTCGTGGTGTAGTTCATTAATAGACAGTTTCTACTACGATTTACATATATACAATATACATATATGTACTTAATCGACTCCAAAAATTTATAGGCTATGTTAAATATTTCAATTAATTCCATTATAGTCAATAGTATAAGTTATGGTAAATAATTTCTATTAGATTTAATTAATGTGTTGGGAGAATGCTAAATCGGTAAATTTGTGAGTCTATTTCCTTCAAAGTTAATGAAACAAAGCATATTGCAATTACGAAATAACAAAACAGCTAACAGGATACTGTATAAGATTCCTCGTACAAGTAGCTCCGAGAAGTTTGACCTTCGTTATAGGACAGTTTCATCCTGGTAGGTACAATTTTGTACAAGGCAGTACATTCGGATATCGGTCAAAATACGGTGATGTACGAAGTTAAAAAGCTAAAGCATGCAAATACAGGGCCTAGGCTCCGAATATGAATTTGTCCCATTCGGTGTCGAAACCCTTGGTCCGTGGGGTCCTAGCGCATAAGACATTTCAAGGAAATGACAAAAAGGTTAGTCGACATCACAGAAGACCGAAGAGCTGGCAGATACCTTGGACAAAGAATTACTCTAGCAATTCAAAGGGGGAACACTGTCAGTATCTTCGGAACCTTGCCCAAAGCGACTCCTTTTAATAATATAATTTTAAGGTTTTTAATTTTAGGTTCTTAGTTGTACAATTAAGTTATGTAAATAATAATCATAAATAATTATTAAAGGCTAATAATATATGAGAATATATCAGATTTTTTATTATTTCATACGAGGCTACATATTTAAAGTTCTAGGGCTACTTAAGGCGCATAGACCGCGTGTTGTCCATTAGTAATAATATTATGTATGTGACTCTTAATAATATTCTAAACGCGAAAGTTTGTATGGGTGTTTGTTACTCCGTCACGCAAAAACTTTATTTTTTTATTTTTATGAACACAATTCCATAATATAATGAGGAAACTTGTTAACGACTTTCATTTAATGTAATATTGATTATTCAATTACTTGATATAGGTAACAGTATTGAAATTCTTGTGTAATTGAATATTACAATGAAATGAAATTACGCAAAAAACATATGATGTTATTTTTATAGTAAATGTTCATAAGTTTTTTACAAAGCTATGTTTTTATGTACTCGTATATAATATTAAGTTATCTACTTACCTGATACATTAGAATACATAAATTTAGTGAAGACATCCTCGAAAGAATTTCCTCATTAGCGAAGACACTGAATCTAGTTCTTTTGTTTGTATTTGAAGTGGACTCGATATTTATATATAGATATGTATATTAAACTGATAGCAGCGATCCGAATTATTTTGGGTACAGATATACCTATATCCTGTTCCGTTTTCTATTACAGTCGCTATCTGAATTTAAATTCAGGTTGAAAGCATTTTTGGCAAGTATCAAGACTGAATACGTTTTTAAATCTAGATACGAGAACAAAATAATATTTATTTGAATCTTTGAATGTACAACCTCAACCATACATTGATTCCTTTCAAAGGTCTGCTGCACAGAGGTTGAATGCAATAATTCCACTATTGTGTATTAAATCCCTTACATTCCTCTTGTGCTACTGTTTTACAAACATGTTTAAAAACTTTCTTAAATTATTAGATATATATTTTAGAGCGTACTCGGATTACTTAATAATTATATTGTATAAAGACCCCAAATATTGTTAAGACATCGCTATCTGAAATTTCATTATTACTTTGCTGGAAATATACGAACCGGTTTCCATCTAGTGTGATTATGCAGTATAGTAAGCAGGTGTAATGCAATCAGTAAATAGCCGGGTTACAGATATCAATAGCGGTATACAGTCATTTCAGTAATCATATTTTTTTAATTGGAAAGGTGCAGATCTTTCACCATTTGAGACATCCCTATAGTTCGGTGAATGGAGTTTTTCGAAAATAATATAAGCATGTTTAAAATAATGTTAAACAGTGTTAGTTATACATTGCATATGGAGTTAAAAATTAGGTAGAATACTTATGCCATTGACCCATTCTCACGAAGAAACTATTTGAAAATCGAAACATAAATGTTGAACTTTTCATATAATATTAATCACATGACGTCGCAGTTTGTCTTAATTCCTGAGGGAATTTGTTCCATGGACTGGATTTAGGATTAGTATATACTTTTCACAATGAACTTTGTCAATAAATTTTAATTGTTATTAGTGCAACGAAATAAATGTCTTTATAATTATTTGTAAATAATTGAGTTTCGTCTCAAACATTTAAAACTAGGCAACTACTATTTACCTCTTTTAAAAGTAGTATTTGTAATTTTCTGTATATTAGGTATTCTTAATTAATGATTAATTAGGAAATTAATTATAGGTACGTACCCGAATGACCACTTAAATATAATTAAGGAACAAGTTATGTTAATACACCAACATTCTTAATGTAATTGAAATAACTGGTTTATTACAAAAACTTATTTTACTAGTAATAATACCTAATAGACGAGTACTCATGGTATAAACTTATTTAATTCATTGGTATTAATTCGTAGTCTTTCTATACATCGTATACATTTTTGCACTTGTCATTAAGAGTATAATAACTTTACTCACAATAAAAGCAATTATGCATTTTTTTTGTGATACATACACAATACTAGAGCCAAAATCGTTTATATGTAATGGTTTATACATATAGGATATGTTAATTAATAGTTTATTATATATCTAGTTCGGTAATAGTAGTTCCGTTCCAACTACTTCGCTTTAGAAAAAGTGGTAAGCAGCGGGACTAGTTCTTTAATTTTTAAATTTTAACCCACGAAACATGGAACATGACTATTGGGAAAACATTAATATGTTTATGTTGTTGATATGGTATTCTATAGTTGACGGTAACCTGGTGTCACCAGTAGCTTGTTTGTCATTTCTAATAGAACAAAATATTTTGTGAGACATAACAATCATTGTAAACTGTAGATTTAGGCCTAAGCTTTCAATGATTCCTGGCTTACAAATGTAAAATTGTAAAACAATTATCGAAATTACAAAATAGTGATAAGGATTAGTAACCGCCATTATTGTGGTGAACGTAATGTTTGATATGCTCACATTTTTGTCAGGATTTTATTCTACTACCGACTCTCAAAACTGGCTTAATAGAATGAATAATGTCTGTACAGCGATGATGAATATTTAATTCATAAGATTAAGGAGAGTTATGCAACAATTTGTATAAACTAGTAATACAGATATAATGATCTTTTAGATTGTTTATACACCTTTTATTATTATAATAATGACATTTTTTTGCTCCGTACATAACAAATTTAAGCCGCGTACATAAAGTTTTTGCGCTACAGATCACGCTTCACTGACATAATATCACGTTTATTTTATTAAGTAGAATGGCAAATAATCTGATAGACTATATATAAGACGATTAACACTTACCATCGTTAAGTGGTATTCGTTTTATATATATATCAACAACATCATAATGTGACCTGTGTAATACCACCTCAGCATTCCCATGCCTTTGCTATTCGGCATAGTTTCGCTGCATTAGTTATTTGGCGACTGAAATAGATAAGACGGATACGGTAAGACTTTGTACAAAGTCTACCTCGGTAAAAATAAAATAATACCTACTATTGTTTTTAGGTTCGAAGAGACTTCAATACCGTATCCAGTATGTAAATCAAATGATACAAACTGCGTCGGTGGTTTTCCTCGATTGTACCAAGAAATACAGACGTTACTGAAAGAAAAACCTGGAGCTTTACTGTTGAATGCAGGGGATACATTTCAAGGGACATACTGGTATACACTATTCAAATGGAACGTGACTCAAAAGTTTATAAATTTGCTACCAAATGATGCACACGTAAGTTGTAATTTAATTTGACATGTTATACTTTAATTGGTTAGTGTTCAATAGTCTATTAATAATATGCGGTAATACAGTCTTATATTCGTACACACTCTTGATGAGGTGAATTTAACACCTCCAGAAACTAGTAGATGACGATTGACTTCATTTATGAAGAAAATGAAACAACATATCTGTCCGGATATAAAGAAAATAAAATTATATTGTTCATTATTCGTGACGTAACTAATAATATTTTTCCAATTACTTAATTTTATTTTCTATTTAGGCAATAGGTAACCATGAGTTTGACGACGGAGTAGCGGGTCTAGCACCTTACCTTAAGGCACTTCAAGCCCCGGTACTGGCTGCTAATATCGACACTACTAATGAACCATTACTTAATGACTTGTATCAGTCACATGTGGTGTTAGAACGGAAGGGAAGGAAAATAGGAATTATTGGATTAATAACAACAGAAACTGCGGTAAGTTTATTCATATTTTTCTATGTTTATGTAAAGTAATAAAAATAAAACACGAGTAATAATAATAATAGATAGAAGATATAAATTTATGAAAATTAATTAAAGATGAGTAAGGAGTATGAGTAAAGACATTAACTATACTAGAAGTTACCTAATAAAATCAAACTAGATAATGAAGTTAAAATTTAGCTGTATACGGTTTTTTTTAAACAAATTATGACAAACAACATATGTACATATGTTGTATGCATTATATAATGCAGAAAATAATATTAAACTTTCTTAAATATTTAAGCATTCTTAGTAATTTATATTCATTAATTAAAAACTCAAGTGCACACATAAATGTGCACACTGCGGTTCTAAAACATCTAGAGGCATTTTCTTCCACTATAGTATAAACAGAGATTCATGTGGGCTTTCATTATCAAAATTAAGTAGGTATGTAAAAAGAAATCTTCGAATATGGTAAACCACCAGACTTATTTACATTTGTGTGAAATTACATAGATATTGGGGGCATTGTGAATGTTTTGAATATGTATCACGAATATACTCACATCAATCAATCTCACGTTTATGTTACTTTTTTAAGTATTTCTAAATTTACTTTTAGACGTCATCGAATTCCCAGAAAGTGATATTTTTGGACCCAATAGAAACTGTTAAAAAAGAATCACAAGCGTTGACAGAGAAAGGAATTGATATTATTATTGTTCTATCGCATTGTGGCCTAGAGGTTGATAAGTAAGTAGAAACAATTACTTTTAATAGAGGTTTACTTTTATAGTTCTTTACTTAATAATGTACAAGTAATGAGTTTGCTTATTACTGCATACATTATAGACCTGATTAGTTTCCATTGTTACAATCAAATAAGTCTTCTATAGAAACTACATTTCGGATGAGCGATAGAATAAAATCATTACAACTATTCAATTAGTGCTTAAAATTATATTTTATTTGAAAAAAGATGAAAGGATGAAAAAGATTTTTATTCTATTCTAATATGATGGTTTACAATATTTAGTAACCATAATGATGTTGATATGTTAGACAATCTATACTTCCAAGCTAATATTATAAAATTGTAAGAGTATCCCTGCTTGCCAATTTCCTAACGGGATGGATGAAATGAAACTTGAAGTAAAGATAGATTGTGTAATAAAAACGGAATACAAACATCTTTTGTTTGAATAAAAACAAGAAAGTCGTGGATAACAGTTAGTATATATTAATTCACAATGAATCCTAATAATTTAAGCGATAGTTTGTGAGTATTGATGGAAGTTTGTTACTCTTAGAATCTCTCTCTCTCACTCTCTCTAGAATCTCATCAGAATAACATATAGGCTATAAATTTCACGCGGGTAAAAACGCGGGCACAGCTAGTTAAAAATAGAAATAAAATGGAGGTAGGTCACTATAATACTAGCAAATATAATAAATCTTTAATTGAATTGATCTTTTTATTTTTTTCTATGACTTCTTTAAATAGCCCGATTTCAATGAAATACAAGTCTACATTGAGCCATAGATGGTATATGTGTATACTTTATTACTTATTACTTTATTGTAGTTAAATATATATGTACTGCCATAAGGCTATAATATTTTTATTCTTTGACTTAGAGTATCTAATATTATTATACCACAATAAATATGTAATAACAATTCTTAAACTAAAAAATTATATTATACGAGATATAATTAGATTATAGCACAATATATTACAAAGTTATAAGAATGATAAAACCTTCTTAATTTGTTTAAGATTTCAACCGTGATTTTAAAAATATGTGTCCTCTATCTTGATCTTATCATATATTTTCATTATATGCACTCAGTTTAAAATTCTCTCCAATTTTATCTTCTTTAACCAACATCTAATGGGTTCTGTGCTTATAGTTTATGGGATGACAACTTTATTATAAAATGTGGATACTTTCTTACTGTCTTTGCATTTAAATTGTCTATAATAAGGGATGAGACCTTACTATATATAACTTTGATAGATTGGGTTACAGCAAGAAATTTCGCAGATTTATGTAAACATAACATTCAATAAACTACATTTTAAACCAAGTTGAGTATTAATTTAGAATGTGCCTATTAATTAATATTCTAAAGTTACTAAATCTTATTAAAACATAATATCATTATATGTTCTAAGCTTCAGATAAAGTCAACGTAAAGAAAAAGTAAAACTAATTAATCCTGTAGGCACTTTATAATTAATTGCTTCGTCAAAAAACAAAATACCATTGCCTACTAATTTTATTTGTAGAATTAATAAAAATCTAAAATAGAATTCTTTACCGAGAAATCATCGACTTATAAGATACAGATGTCTATAAACTTTTAATTTAATTAGTATATTTGATTTCTACTAGAGATTTATTCCTGATAATTAAATTCAATTATTATTTTTCTTTCTTTTATTTAAATCGAATCCCAAATAATAATTACAAGAATATTTATCAAAACTTTTACATATCTATTTACTAAAGTCGCGTCATAAATGTATTTTATTAATTGTTATCTTTTAATTATCATGTATACATTGCGTCTTAAAATGTAATTATATTACAGTTGATTTTATTATGCGATCAATAAAAGTGAACTATCAAAATTGGATTCCTGAGCAAAAAAAAATGCGTTGTCATAGATCTAGATAGAATTCATTGTGAGGTTTTATCACTTCAACGCTCTACTGTATACAAAATGAATAATACTGAATGAATGAATACTGGATACTGTATACAATATTATGCTTGAGATACTAAAAAAATGTGTAATTATTTTAGGAAAATAGCAAGCGAAGTTGGCGAAAATATAGACATAATAATAGGAGGACACTCGCATAGTTTGCTTTGGAATGGTGAACCCCCAAGCAAGGAAGAAACTTCAGGCCCTTATCCTATTATCATAATACCCAAGTCAAGTCCGGGACATAAGGTATGAATAGAAATCTGTTCTAATATAGAGGTGCAAGATTTTAAATGCTTTCAATTTATATTTAAGTTCTTGCTCTTGTTGTTTTTATACATCTATTAAAATACAATATTATCCAAACAGTTAACTTGTAAATTTTAATAAATTTCAACATAATATTAGTATTTTAAATGTAATTATTCTTAATTAAAATTCCTTTAAATTACGGAGAAAGGCAACGTGTAATTAAAGTGATACGTAATTAGACGATAATAAATCTATTTCATGTTCAACAAAGGATAGTATAATGTATATATACTGTAGGTACATAATGCAGCTATATTGTAGGTATATAAATATATAAATTATTTGTTATTTCTTGTTCATATTAATATAGTTATAGATATTAGATACATAAAGAGATATGTTTTGTGTAATATTTATGAATTCGGTACTTACAAAATGGTATATGTATGTAATATTTTCAGAATTTTTATTATAATTACCTATATTTGTAATTTATACTTCCAGGTATTAAGTAATTGTACCTTATCGATCTGTTTTCTGCCTAACCATTCGCATTTATATGTATCACCTTCCTTAAAATATTTTCTTCATTCCAACACAGTGATGACGTCATTTCATTATAATTCATAAAAATCCTGGCATGAAACATTGTAGCAATAGAGTCACTCCTCATTGCTATAAAATAATCGATAGATTCAGTAAAACTTCTTTGTATTTACAAAGTTAAAATTTAAATGGACTATAAATTTGATATTTATATGTTTTATATGGACACATATAATACGAATATTAGTAAATTATTAGCAATTTATTTTATGAGTACGCGTTGTTGTAAAATATTCACTATAGATTTAGATTGTATTGAGACGGTTAACCGATATTACAAATTAAGATTAGTCTTGAGATTTTCTTGTCTGCTGCTTGCTGTTTGCTCACGGTTACAATTCAATTCACAAAGCGGCATCTAAACGCAAGCGAAGAAAAGTTTATGTTATGAGGACTATACATCTGATAGATATATGTACATTATATGTATATTGCTATTGTCGTCTAGTCTTACATATACATACACATTACTACTTAAATAAAGTTTTTTAATACGTACCTAATATATACAAAAAATACCTATATTTATACAAACAATCTTATGAATACATATGCTTGTATCGTGGGAAGAATCGATCCTGTAACCATTAAAAGGAAGACGGTGTGCTAAATGTTTAGACCACCGAGGGCATTAGTAATAATAGTCTATTTATTCACAATTATTAGTTTCTCATATATTCTTTGAAAAAATGTAAATATCTAATAAATATAAACATATATTTAATAACTGCAGAGAATGTTGTTTTTCCAAACCATCGAAATATGTAAATGAACCAACCATTGCTACTCAGTAAATTAATTTAGATTTTTCAATCCATTGGTTACTTCAAACACGTTCTAACATGTAATTGATAATTATAAAAGTAGCGAAATAAATATGAAACTATTTCAATCATTATAATTTATCTGTGTATATGGTTAAAGTATGTGTATAAGTTATAATGAAATATTTAAAGCAAAACGTGATGTTTGGTCAATATTTGAGCGTACAAGTTTTATTATTATTTCCTATCAGTAATTTATTAGTTAATATTAACATTATTAATTAGATTAAAAAATGTGTTTAATTTATATACATACATACACTCAATAATTACAAAAACTAACATATATTTTCATCCCTTATATTAATGCCTTCCAGATACTTATTTGAAATTAAAAATACCCTACATCCGTCCTAGTGATCTATCTTTGTATCAAATTTCATTAAGATTTATTCAGACCTTTAGTCGGTAATAACTAATAAACAGACAGACGGACACACTTTTGCTTTTTTATAAATAATATTAGTATGAATCACACGAGACTCTTTATATTATATATATATATATCCAGAATAAGTATAATAACTGTTTTCATTTAATTTAGATATTTTTTTAATTAATAGCCCTACATAATAAATACACTTTTTTTATAAATACTGATATAACAGAGATAACTACGGTAACCGTTTAATCAGATGGGCTGTATGCTTGTTCTGCCACCAACATGGTATAATAAAACCACCCCGATCCATACTATACAGATATATTATACATGGTCATTAAACCCGTGATGATTGAAATGTGTATATACAAAATCACTACATCACAGACACAGAGATCGTCATCCTTTGATAATGTATTTAAAAAATGTTTTAGGTTTTGATAGCCACAGCGTCAGCATTCACCAAATATGTGGGGAATATCACGACATACTTCGATGTGTCCGGTGATTTGCAGACGTATGACGGAACTCCGGTATTCCTGAACCGATCGATCCCGGAAGGTAAGTTTAAATACTACAATGTATCTATACTAATATTATAATGAGGTAATGTTTGTGAGTTTGGATCTTCGGAGTAATCTCCGGTACAACTTATGCGATTTTGAATATCATTTTAGTGTCGGTTAGCCCATTTCTTGCGGAAGGCTAAGACTAGTAGTATTAGTGGTGCAAGGTGTGAAAAATGTTACAAATACAAGGAAAATGTAACACAGACGAGGTTGCGCTTGTTAGTCATCTTGTAATCTATATTTAAATAAAACTCTATTTTCAAGTATAATTTAATATACCACTCCAGAAAGAATAAAACTAGGTTACATTATTTGACATTTGTAATTGTCAGGACAAGGTTTGTCTATAGAAAAATGTCTAAAAGTTGTACATAAAAGTGAAACTGTGGGTAAAGAAATTATATATATAAATATGCATTATTTATATATACATTAACTAGCTGACCCGGCAAACGTTGTTTTGCCATATAATTAGCTTTCAAGTAATTTCTAGCTAAAAAAAAAAAAATTAGGGGTGGATTACCCCTAACATTTAGGGGGATGAAAAATAGATGTTGGCCGATTCTCAGACCTACTCAATACGCTCACAAAATTTCATGAGAATCGGTCAAGCCGTTTCGGAGGAGTACGTGTCGTTTGGGAACGAAAACTGTGACACGAGAATTTTATATATAAGATAATCTAATTCATTTAGTTGATATTTTATTTCATTACATACAGCCTCTATGTGGTGTGTTTTGTTTTTCAGATCCTACTATTAAAGAACTTATGAAACCATATAAAGAAAAACTTGACTCAATAGTCCACGAAGTGGTAGGATTCGTTGATGATGATTTGTTAGCAAAAACTTGCGGTGAACAAGAATGCGCTTTGGGAGACCTGATCGCTGATGCCTTTAAGGATGCGGTACGATTATGATATACATATAATACAATTAGAATATGCCGATATCTGTACATTGTACATGAATTGTATAATATATATATAAATAAATTATTGGGCTACTGTACCCTAAACATTTTATAAAATTATTGCCTGTCTATAAGTTTATACAAGAATCATGCAAGACCTATTTGCATATTAAGTTATTAGTATATATAAGAATTGAATATTAAGTTTTGTTCAATGTATTGGTAGAGCTCTAATTTAAGGTTAGAGATCAATTTTACCGGCCGATAATATATTATATTTTGCAATAAAGGCGAGTTGCAAGTAAACAAGAAAACCAATAATTACGATTCCAGAAACATTGCAAATTGTAGTATATATCTTCGCGGTGCTAAGAATAATACTTAATATATATAATATACGCATTACTCGAAATACAAAATTTTAAACCAACTAATTAAAAAACTAAATATTTTTAAAGAAACTTTAATGGCTATTTGAATTTTTATCACGTAGGTATACATATAAATAATTAACATTATTTTACTATGATGATATGAGACCAACACGGGAATATAAATGTGCAAAATTATCTAGTGTTAAGACATAAAAAATATCTTCTTTTTGTGAAGTTGGTCCATTAATAATAATAATAGTTGGTGCTTCTGGAAGAAACGCCCATCAGGATATTTCATATTGTGACTATTTTAACCAATGCATTATTATTTATTGCAGACTAAACAATTAAACGTGTCGAGTCTTCCTCATGTCGTTTTTCTTCTAAGGAACATGATTCGTGGCTCAATAGGAAGTGGCAGTAAGTTTGGAAAATAAATCGTCTTTGGAAGAAGACTTTATGATGTGTATCAGATACAATTTCCTAGAGAATATATTAGATATAAGTGATTACTAACTATTACAATCTACATATATGTATATAAGAGAGTGATGAATCGACGCTACCATTGCAGATTTTCATTAATGCCGTTACCATAGAGACAATTTATACTTATATGATTATTTCATAGGTACTCTAAGTTATTTATAATATGGACTATTAGTAGCCTAAAATAAATAAATCAAATTAAAATTCAAAAATAATTTATTCATTAAGGACCATTTAGCCACTTATGAACGTCAAGATTTTAGTACTACTATTTTTTCCTATCGTGTATATATATATACGATACCATCACTTTTCGTGTCTTTTATTGAGAGGAATTGGGCCGTTTAGTCGTGAAGAATGAAGAACTAACAAGTAGACAGACATGCAGACACACTTTCGGATTCAGTATTTATATTATGGATACATAAATAACTATAGGTAGCAACATTATGATTTTCTGAGTATCTTATTAGGTGGTGATACTAATAATGATTTACCTATAAAGTAGAGTTAATATTAATTGACATGTAAAATAAGTTTAAGCACTGACTGTGCCAGTTTCCTTCTCGTATCTACGAACCTTTTTGGGATCATTACTATGTGATATTTCGTATGTAATGCATATATACTCGTAACTAATTTAACTTTTAATAACTTTCAGATATTACTAGGGGCGCAATTATAAATACTTTACCGTTCACCAATGAAGTTGTGACGTTTAGACTACTGGGAAAGTATCTGGTACAAGCTTTGGAACGCTGTCTTAAGAACTATTGGGTATTCAAACCTTTTAATGGACCGTGGATGCCGCAAGTTGCTGGTAAGTGTTTTAAGTTACCTATATTTATCAAACAATTCTCGGTCGACGGTCTCTCTAATTTTTAGCACACCGCCTTACTTCAGGTGGTCGCGGGTTCTATTCACCGCACCGCATACACATTTGTATTCATAAGTATTATTGTTTGTATCGGTCTGGGTGTTTTTTATGTATAATATGTATGTATTTAAAAAAAAAATGTATGTTTCTGTATCAGTTATCTAGTACCCATAACACAAGCTTTAGCTAAGCTTAACTTGGGTCTAGATGGCGCTTGATGAATTAATAAAACTGATGGCCCACCTGATGGTAAGCGGTCGCCTATATATATGAACAGTACTATAGATATCGTAATTTCACTGCCTAATCTGCACCCTTCAACCAACCTTACAAAACAAGCTGCTTGGAGGCTGAAATAGGTGAGACTGAAGTACCCACGCATACGACTTTTTACGGCCTACCTTTGTTTACAATAAACGGGTCAAGTTGTATAAGGAAAGAACTACCTGCTTAGGTGTTTTCGAGATATGAATAGATATATGCATGGGGTTTTTCAAGAAGGATATATTAAGATTTCTTAAGGGTCGGCAACGCGCACTTGATACCCTGGTATTTCATGCGTCCATAAGCTAGGGTAACCGTTTACCATCAGAGGGCCTTATGCTATTGCCACTAAAGCAGTAGAATAAAAAAATATGCGCATGATTGATTCCAATAACACATATTTATTATAACAGTTTTTTATTATATTTACTGAACTATAAAATATCATGGAAATCCAATGTCAAATAGATAATAAAATGGATGACATTGTCGGATTGACTTGTATTTCTTTCGCTTATTTTTTTGCTTCATTGCTGTTCTTATTTTTTAGATAGGAATATGTACTTGCGTCGTATATCTGTATTTTTAATGGATGAATATGGCATAGACGTATTGATACGTAGACAGCGGAGAGCATCAGATAATGGAAAGAGTATAAAGTTAAGGCAGTTAGCCCATGCGGGGAATTCTTCAGAAATTATTCACTATGGTTTCTAAGGTAGAGAGTCTAGGAGACTAATAATAGGAATAGAGGCACTAATCCCCATTAATAGTAATCACCTCCCTTCCACCACCCCTGTATTAGTCTAATGTATATTTTACACAACACTAGTTTTAGTGACGAACAAAAGAGCATGAACAATTTTTTATTTATTGGCTACGTTTATACTGAATTGAAACCTGTTTGCTGAAGCAGAATAATAAACTGAAAAGTAAAATATATAAATTAATGCTGTATATGTGTATGTGTGTAGCGCACTAAACAATGTGTGATGTTTGGTGCACATCTTCAAACGTAGATATAGTAGTAGATTTTCTACATGAAACTTGCTAAAATTATATACTAGACAAACTTTAGCATAAGTTTGTCTGGTAACTAATATTAATGTAATGTTACTTAATGAACACCCCTATAAATAGGCCTAGACTTATAGGTTCCTAATTAGGGTAGAGCGCGTACGATATTGTCAATTACTATGAAGTATATACATCGCTACTGTTTGATGGAGAGGCACTCGAGAGCACCGTGTAATTTGATTTCGTTAGGAAAGGTTATTTAAATTAGCATTGAACATTAGTTGAAAGGGATGCTTCAAGAGTTTGTTGTTTAATAACTTTTGTTAACCCATTTGTATCTAGAGGATGTTCTAGACTTCATAATTAAAAAAAAATATATCTTGTATATTAATATGTATAATTAATATAATATAATAATCAAATATAAAATAAAATAGATAATAGTATAAATGCTGTCATGAAATATGTGGACCTGTTGTATGTAGGTGATAGTTCTCATTTACTATCAGGTGAGCCGTCGTCGGCTTGTTTACCATACCAGTTATTTAAAATATCTCCTACATTTGACTTACTTGCTCTAGTTTATGTGTAGTAAATAATCATAATAATATATATTTCTTGTTCTTGTTGTATAGGTATGCAAATAACATTCAATACCACAGAAGGTCGAGTACTCTCGGCGTTTGTGAAACAAGGTGAAGATTTTGAATCTATAGATGCCGAAAAGGAATATCAAGTGACAACCGTGAATTTCCTTTTGAATGGAGGAAACGGTTTTGTGGTATGAGATGTTTTATTATAAAGAGTTTTCCTTATAACTAAATCAATTAGGTAATACAACTTTATAAGATCTTTTTATGTATGTCATACATATAATATATAAAATGTAATTTGCAATAAATCTTTTAGATTGCTACTGCGGTAATAATGCGTTTAAACAGCTTTGACTGTTTATTACCGATTCTTTTTAATAATATTGACGTTGAATTATTAAACTACATTTTAAATTAGATTATTCTAATATACATTATTTATATTGTAACGGTATTTTAACACGAATAATTTTATGGTAAATCTCTCCACATTTCGACCTTATTACAGTATAAGTAATAGAAAATTCTAACCTAGATTCAATTGTTTAGACTGTAGTAATGATATTCAGAATGGCATAAAAAAATTCAAGAATTGAAATATAATTGTTTATTTTATGTATTGATATTAGTAATACGTACAGTTATTACCGCAGACATTAGTAGTAGTAGTTTACTTTTGTATAGTTTTCTGTCTTGAATAAATATAAAATGGAGGAGGATATTAATATCTTTCTGTTTTAATATACGTTTAGAAATGTCTTAGTTTTATAATTACATTTTCACAGTAAACACTGTGAAAATGTTTAAATAAACGCTCAAGACATATATATATATATATATATAGACTAAATATATTACATATTTTTTCAGATGCTGAAAGACTATGGACAGAATAAATTGCACGTCGGTCAAGATGCACATCTGGTGGAGAATTATATAAAGAAAATATCACCCATTACACTAACTGTCGATAATAGAATAACTGTGATTAACTGATCTGAGAATTAACTGTGATTTTTGTATTTTTTATAATCTCAAATATATTGACTTTGACGCTCTGAAGATTTATTTTCACTAGTTTAACTAATTACTAATAGTAATGCGAAAGTAAGATTGTTTGTTTGCTACTGTGTCATGCATTAACGGTTTAACTCATTTTTATGAATATATTCATAAACATACGTTATGCGTATGTTTACTAATTCATAAAAAGAACTAAATTCTACGCTTTAAAATGTTGTAGAATTAGTTTTAGTCATAATAAGTCATCTGTTTGTCTAATGTATAATCTGAAAAGAAAGTGACAGTGTAACTTATGAATATATTAGGTACGTCACTCACATTTAAACTATTTTTATGGTATGACGTAACTTACGGATGGTCCCCTAATATTTATTAACAAAGTATAAAGTACACAAATTAGAAAAAAAATGTAACAGGACAAAAATCACTTTACTAACTCATTTATTTCTAAGATGTAAATGATATGCACAATTCACTTTAATTCATGGATGGGTGGGTAGTCCATCAAAGACAAAACACGAGTATATTGCACCCTTTTCGCTATAATGTTACATATAAAAGAAACTGTCTATAGTAAATACAAAGAACGAGACAAAATTTAATGTATAAGCGAGCTATGAAATAAAATATATTCTCATTTTGTCCTTTACGAGAGATGAAAATTCAAAGAAAATGTCAACATAAAAACAATTTACTTAACTGAAATGCGAGTGTTTAGATACGTACTACTTAGCCAATATTTGTTTGCATTTGACTCGCGAATATTTTACTAGAGACTATATTCTGTACAAAATTGACATTTAATACTCTAATATTAAAGTTTAAATTGTTGTGAACGAATAAAATTCTTTGGCGACACATTAAAATGGACCCGCTCTCAGACGTCCGTTTGTGTCACCATTTTTAGAATTATTCCAACCGATGTTACAGTAGAATTAAAACTTGTTTATTAGTGGGTATGTTTTGTGTACATAGATGAAAATTATAGAAAATTGAATGTGCCTTTTGTTACTCAGGAAAATACTGGAGGACGGATATTTAGATCAAGATATACTTAAATATCTTAGGATAAAAAAATTATATACCTAATGTAGTGACTTAGTGAAACAAATTTTTACATAGGTAGGACATAGTTACAAGATTTTTTGTACAAATTATACAGCGCAGTAGCATTTAGGTAGAAATTTAATATATAAAACAAGGACATAAGAGTTAATTAGTTCTTAGAATATATTGCATGTATATATGTATGTGTGTGTATTATATAAAGCAATGTGTATATAAAGCAAACAATTGTTTATAAAATAACTTCGCGATTCCCAATGCGGTATTTGTATTGAGGTGAACGCAACTTTTGACTTACCTATATTTCGCCGAATATATTTGATCTATCATCATCGTTATCATGTCTGGATACATTTGATTTATTTTATATAGTCTTTATTGTACAGGTAATTTAATAAAACACGTTATCGTTTTTATATAAAATATTTTGGTTTTTGTCAGATTCGGAATCGTTTCCTTTACAGTCGTTATATTCTAAATACGTATAAAATTTTACTATGTTGCAAAGTGTACAACATATTCAATTTATTTCTTCTTTATTATAATAAGTAAAGATCGTTAAAGTGGAGTGACGGCGACAAAAACTTGGTAAATGTTCTGAGACAGCTGATATAGGACGGCGCGGCCGATTTGGACGTAAATAAATATCTGGCAGGGCTAAAAAATGGGAGTCTGTAATGCGGGCTAGTGGATTCGGTGGTCCAATTTCACATTAACTTTGATTTCGTTTTTTCCACTATTCGAATAGTGTGATTGCATTTTTTTTTAATGGATACTAATGAAATGTTGCACCCGTCGGCTTAGTCTGGCAGTGCACCAGTGGAGGATGATAAAATGAGCATAAGGTACGGACAATTAGGACATAGTGACAAATTCACCAGGAATTAATAATGATTTTTCCAGAGAAACTGCGTGGACGTGACCTGACATGTTAACGGCCTCCCCCCTGTGATTGCATTATATCATCATCATCATCATCGCAGCCCGGAAGACGTTCACTGCTGGACATAGGCCTCCCCCAAAGATCTCCACGACGATCGGTCCTGCGCTGCTCGCATCCAATACCTTCCAGATTGTATTATATACTGATACAATTCTTTCATAATTATGTTATGGTGGCAAGCAAATTAAGCAACATAATAAGAATCAGCCAAAGAATCAAATTAATTCTACTCAACTAGAATTGAACAATTCTAAGACACCAAGTATGCAATCAATTTTCACTTTTGATGAAAACTTGTTTAATTCAAAATGCTCTTTGTTAATTAAGTCTTCATGAAAATCCTTCCGAATGTTCTAATATAATCAAATAGTCTTCTCTTCAAAAATTAATTTAAATCTATGATAATGAGCTCTGGCTAATTGTTGGAATAATAGAACCGCCATCTGTCGCTTATCGTGGGTCCAGCTGGCTTAGATTTTAAAACTTAGGTATTTTATAATTATTGGAGTAGGAGAAATTATTCACCGAATAGACAATTAATACTGTTAAATTTATATATCAATTATTTTCCGTCTGGTGACCGAGTAAAAATAAATCGTGTTTTTTATAACATTTACCATTTTATTGTAATTCTTAGGCAAGTTGCTGCTTACAAGGTGTCTAGATGAATAAAAAAGTAAATCTTGAAAAAACTTAATCGCTTGTCTAGCTTGCTTTTAATAGGCCTCTTAGCAGAGATCAGTAGGTCGACGAGGAGATGTTATTATCGTGTTATTTAAATATACTTGCTGTTTATACATACACAAACTTTCAATTATGGTGTGCTAGTGATTACTGCCGCCCATGAGAATATCCAGTGTATATCCTGTATTACAGGATAGCGTATGTTCTTCTTTGAAAAATCACATTATTATAAAAGAATCACAGCATTTCATTGTAAAAAATACTAGATAGGTACCATTTTTAATTCAATGTCATTAAATCCATTTTATGATATACAATAAATAGAGCTGTAATTTTTTTTATTAGATACTGACAACCCTTCTCATATTCAAATAGTGAATATGACAGAAACTATTAGGTAGTAGGTAGGTATGCATGTAATATGACAACGTCGGTGGTTGGTGCTTTGCTTCCTATGGTCGCGGGATCGATTCCTTGCACGGTACAAACATTTGGATTCATGTTGTTTGTTTTGGACTAGGTGTCTTCTATGTATCTTCCATATGTATTTAAAAAAAATAGTGTTTATATAAGTTCTCTAGTACTAAAAACACAAGCTCTGCACAGCTTGGGATTAGACGACGCTATCATAAAGTACATAACTGTATTATATTAAATATATAAACCTTCCGGAACAAAATCAAAATGGCAGTGAAAACTATATAATTACTATAAAATTCGTTTCGTGATATAAAGAAGTAAGCAGAAACAAACAGACGAAATGTAATAATTCCCTGAAAATGAATTCCCTGAACTTTTATTATCACATTTCTTAAATAAATGGTAGAAAATCCTTGATATCAACTTTGTGCTAATATGCTATAGTAGGTAAATAAAGGGTTCCAAAATTTTCACTAATTTGATTGCAAAGTCAAAGTCACGTGGTCCCGCATGTTACAGCAGTTGCACATTGGAATTGTTAAAATGTAATTTGCCTCGCTAAAGCTGATCTATCTTTAGGAGCCCGAAGGGATCGCAGTAGTGTGAGCCGATTTATTTACACTATGACCCGCCCGCAGCTTTATGTTTGTCATTTGTACGTACTTTGTTGTGATGTATGCCTACAGCTAGGCGACATCGGTGGACATACTTTCAGGACTTTGAAACGGTATGTACAAATAATTCGACATGGTGATTCTGTGCAGTATTGTTTTTTGATGCAGTAGTGCTTGAACCAGGTTAGTTTGAAAGCTGACATGGTTCTCAGTTACAAGGAATTTAGAGATTTTCTTATTCGGGCTACTTAAAATGATTATTTTTGTAATAATTATACTTCGTTTTGTTAACAGTATTAGTCTGCGTAAGAAGCTGTTAACTGTACCATAGTATTGTAATAAGAGAGAATAAAATATATGTATTTAATTTTTTTTTCTCTATTTATCTAATTTATAAATGATTAAAATAGATACCTGAAGGTAATTTTTGATAAAATAATATTAATAAACTGTTCTTTAAAATAAATACTGAATTTATAAAATAAATAACAATTCAGTATGCATGAATTTAAATTTTCATTCAATAATATGAAAGAGTTAGAATGAGATCAAAGAATAAAAACAACTGAATGTATTTGAATACTAAACAATATATTAAGTCCTTATTTACATATTTCAGTAACTCTGCCTAGTGCGGTGTATTTTCCACACAGATGAGTTATTAGAGTAGATAATTATATACTATTATACTGGTACTTACATACATTTCATATACTCTATAGATTGTAAACAGAAGAATATATAATTTTCTGGTAGTCTGATAAATAATAAGGTCATATTACGATTAATATACATACTTTCGAATAAAATATGAAGTACTAGGTTATCTAATAATTATTATTAAGAACTATTCACTCGTAAATGTAAATGTAAATGGGACTCTATTTTCCGCAATCAGCCTCTCATCTGGGCCTTTGTGCGTGTAGTCTGTTCTGTTCTAAACGAGTGTAGAGTGTTAAAGTTACAAAAAGTTAGACAGACAGAGAGAAGAACAAACATTCTCATTTAAAATATTGATATTAATTATGTTTCAGGAGCAAATAAATACATGTGTTCTAGAAGATTACAATGTTTCAAGCAATAAGAGGTAACAATTGTGAATTAATAAACGAATTACCTTCGTTTACTTTATGGTTACTTCACAAGTGCGCGTCGTTATACAACAATACGTATAAGTACAAGAGTTTAGTTGATTGTTTCTAATACTATACATGACAAATGAAATGCCTATATTCATACAATATACTAAGGAAACAGAGCACAACAAGTGTAATATATAGTAGAAGGAAAACTATAAAAAAAAAT